CTTAGGCTCTCTTTCACTATTTGGAAGCCTATCCGGGTGGGATCCTGCCCTTTGGGCATCTTTCTTATTGTTTCTCTTTGTTCCTATGTTGAGCAGTCCTCTCCCTAATGTTATTAATCTGCTTAGCGATTACAGCCTCTCTTCCAGCACTGTTTTGACTGTAACATTAAGATACCTAGTTCTTTTTCTTTCCAAAATGAACATCTTGTATTTCTTTCTGCCCTACTTGCTCTTTTTCATTATCTATTTACATACATATTCTAAGTAGAAACCGTGACACAGACTCAATATATATTGTCTTGAAATATTATCTGTCCAAAAAAAAAAAAAAATCCTTAACTTCTTAATTTAGCCTCGGGCAAAATTCTTAGGACAAAGGCAGATGGGGGTGGATTGTTTTTTTGACAAAATATCACAGGAATAGCCTTTAGCCCAGTTTCTGTTAAAGGGTTTGCTTCCTTCTGAAATCTTTTTGGTTGGGCCTTTTGACTCCTCTTTACCCTTAACACTGCTGTCTTCCAGACTTCTGCTAGGATGGGCTAGTAAGCTCTACTGAGAACATCCAACTGCTTTTCTAGTCCAAAATTCCAACATCCTCTATATTCCTCCCCAATAACATAATCAGTTTATTTACAGGAACACCCCACTCTCGGCTCAAACATCTCTGTTGCTATGATGAAATACTACAACCAAGGCACCTTATAGAAGGAAGAGGTCTTTTGTTGTTGTTGTTTGCTTGTGCTTGCAGAGGGTAAAAGTGCACATGGTGTGGACACCTGGCAGGATGCAGGCTTGGCAGAATGAGCATGCAGATAAGAAGCTGGGAGGTAACACATATTACTGCTAACAATAAAGAAGATAGAATGATTAGATCTAGGTCAAGGCTATGAACTCTCTGGGTACTAGTCCTATATCTGTTTGTCAGCTGCCGAAGCTTCCCTCCCACTCTGTGCACTTGATCTTCATTTTACTGAGTGTTTTCTTTTCTGCACAGGTTTTTAGTTATATGAGGTCCCATCAATCAATTGACCCAAATTCCTATGTAAATTCAATCCTATTCAGAGAATCCTTTCCTACATCTATAACTTGTAGTCTAATGTCTATATTTTCCTCCAGTGATTTTAGCATTTTGGGTTCTACAATAATATATTTGATACATTTCAGTTGATTTTTGTGCAGGGTGATGGATACAGGATTAATTTCACTTCTACACATGGACATCGGTTTTCCTAGCGCTATTGGTTGAAGATGCCTTTTCCCCAAGGAGGGTTTTTGGTATAGTTGTCAAATGACTCGGGTGTTTGTAATTATACACATTGAAGGCTGGCTCTTATACTTTGTTCCACTAGTCTCCATGTCTGTCTTTGTGACAGTACCAGGCTGTTTTTTATTACTATATCTCTGTAAGATACCCTGAAATCCAGTATAATCCCTCCAGCATTTTTCCTTTTGCTCAGGATTGCTTTGGCTCTCTGGGGGTCTCTTGTGATTTGATATCAATTTTAGGATGTTTTTTTTTCTGTTTCTCTGAAGAATGTAATGGGGATTTTGATTGGAAGTGCATTGAATCTATAAATTTATTTTTGATATAAAGTTCATTTTCTCAAATTTAACTCTGTCAATCTATGAGTATGATGAGGGTAGACTTTACATCTTGTAGAGCCTTCCTTAATCTCTTCCTTCAGAGATTTAAAGTTTTCATCATAGAGGTTTTTCACCTCCTTGATTAAGTTTATTCCTTAATTTTATTATGTTTGTTATCTTTTTGAGGCTTTATTGAATGGGGGTTTTTCCATGATCTCTTTCTCAGCATACTTCTTGTTTGTATCCAAAAATGCCATAGATTTTTTTGTTTGTTTGTTTGTTTGTTTTTTGTTTTTCGAGACAGGGTTTCTCTGGGTAGCTTTGCGCCTTTCCTGGAACTCACTTGGTAGCCCAGGCTGGCCTCAAACTCACAGAGATCCACTTGCCTCTGCCTCCCGAGTGCTGGGATTAAAGGCGTGTGCCACCACCGCCCGGCTCCGTGCTATATTTTTAAAAAGTGAGGATCCTGATTTATATCGGATTGCTTCAAGTTTTTCTCCATTTAGGATGATGTTCTGTGGCTTTACTGTATACAGCCCTTCTTATGCTGAGGTTTTGTTCCTTATAGTCCTTTTCTCTCTAGGAGTGGTATCATGAAGTCACGTTGGATTTTGTCAGAAGCCTTTTCTGTGTGTGTCTGAGATGATGATGATGATGATGATGATGATGATGATGTGACTTTTGTCTTTCAAGTGTATTTGTTTTATCTACTATATTTATTTGTTTGCCTATTTTGAAGGACCCCTGCCTCTCCAGGATAAAGCCAACTTGATTGTGATCCCTTTTGATATATGCCCATATTTGGCTTGCAAGTATTTAAAGAATTTTTACATCTGTGTTCCTCGGGAATGTTGGCTTGTAACTTTTTCTTTCTTTCTTTTTTCTGTGTCTTTACCTGGTTTTGATATTAGAGTAATGCTGGCTTTGTAGGCATTTGGAAGAACTTCTTCTGTGTTAGTTTTCTGAATAATTTAGTTTTGGATGCAGATCTTTGGAAGTTTGCTAGAATTCTGCTGTGAATCTATCTGGGTCTGTACTTTTTATAGTTGTAAGACTTTTTATTACTGTTTTAATTTTCTTTTTATGGGTCTGTTTGAGTTGTTGGCCTCTTATTTGTTTAACCTTGGTGGCATAGATGAATTTATAATCTGTATATAATTTTTTCTGAGATACTTTATTTTTTTGAGGCTTTTGAGAGAAGTAGTTTCCCCAATTTCTTTCCCAGTATTTTGTCATTTGTATGTAGGTAAGCTACTGAGTTTTGAGTATTAATTTTGAATCTTGTTACTTTCCTGATTGTGTTTATCAGTTGTAGGAGTTTCCTGATGGAGTCTTTAAGGTCCTTTATGCATAAAACAGTACCACCTGAAAATAATAATACTTCGATTTCCTTTCCTATTTCCTTGATTTCTTCAGTTGTTTTATTGCTCTAGCTAAGACTTCGAGTACTGTATTGACTAGGTACACAGAGAGAGGGCAACCTTGTCTTATTCCTGCTTTTAGTGGAAATGCTTTGAGATTCTCTTCATTTAGACTGATGTTAGCTTTGGGGTCAGTGTGCATTGACATTTATTATGTTGAGGAATGTCCCTTGTTTCCCTAGTCTCTTAAGGAATTTTATCATACTTGGATACTGGACTTTGTTGAAAGCATTTTCTGAATTCCACTACATTTTCCTACAGCTTGCAGCATCTTAGTGGGTTTTTCCTTTAATAACTATGGAGTGTCCTTTCCTATCTCTTATGATTAGTTTGATCTTGGCTCCATTTGTTTGTAATATTTTCTGTCCTTTTACCTTAGGTGATGCCTGTTCTTGGTCACAGGTATGTTTCTTCGACACCGAAGAAAGATAGATCTTATTTTCTAATCTAATCTGTTAGTTTATGCCCTTTTACTGGGGAATTGAGGTCATTAATATTGAGAATTAATAGTGAACAGTTTTGATTAATCCCTGTTATTTTGCTGTGGTGGTATAGATTTCTGCCTCTTTGACTAACTGTTGCAGCTGATGTATTCCTTGTGTCCTTTTGGATATGGTTAACATGCTCTTCAGTTTGAAGTTTTCTTTCTAGTGTCTTCTATAGAGCTGGTTTGGAGGACATAAATTGATTAAATTTATTTTATCATGAAATGTTTTTCTTTCTCTATCAATTGTGATTGATAGTTTTGCTAGGTATCATAGTCTGGGGTGGCATCTGTAGTCACTTAGAACATGTAGAACATCTGTCTAGGCCCTTCTAGCTTTCAGAATTGCCACTGAAAAGTAAGGTGATATTCTTACAGGTCTTCTTTAGTGGATGAGTGTTCTGTTATTTGATTACTGTTTCCCACTCTGGGTCCTAGCCAAGTGTTACAGCTGTGGGATCCCTGAGTCCAAACCAAGTGTGGTGGCCCTGTGATCCTTGGCAGATCTGCTCTGCAAGTTGGCAGAGAGTCATGATGGAATGGGAGTGGGCTAGAAGGAAAGGGTTAAAAGGGAAGTCAGGAAGAGCTGAAGGGACCCTAGGTTCACACCAAGAGGCCAAGTCCCAAGAGGATGGAGTTGGGTTGGAAGAAGAGTATCCTGTGGGCAATAGTACTAAGGGGAAGTCTGGGAAGGCCATAATGGAGGACACGAAGGAGAATACATGTCTCCTACCTGAGTCTCAGCTTAGTGTGTCAGCTATTGGTCCCTGGCAGAGTAAAGTTCTATGGAATCACAAATGACTGGATATGGGCTAGAAGAAAAGGCTGAAAGGGCCACCAGGAAGATCTAGGGAGGCCCTGAGTCAGCAACCCAGTAATGTGCTTAAAGAAAAAAAAAACTTCACAATTTGCTCAATATTTTTGGTTTAAAAAATACTCTTTTTAAAGTATTTGTGTATAAGTGTATACATATATATGTGTAGAAAAAATTATTTATATATTATTTATATATATTATGTATAATAAATTTATATATATAATATATATAATGCATTTAAAAACAATTCTTTCTTAATGGTTTCACATCAAGGGTGCTATAGTATTACTAAGTAGATTTCATCTAGGAAGAAAATTATAGGAATAAAAGAATGAAAAAAAATTTTTCTCTCTCTTGAAGAAAAATATCAAGTCCTAGTACAGGCCAATTACATGCTAATTTCACATTTCACAGACTTTCTTTATCAGAGCACAATATACAGTCTACTTGTCTTGGTTAGAGTTAAATACCAGAATCTGTGTAATTAAGGATAACCATGAGGTTTTGTACAAAGGCACCTATGTGGAACTTTGGAAATATTGATTTATGAACAAGCACTACCCACGATCAGATTGTGTGAATATAAATGAGCCACATGATCTCCCTAAGAAGAGGCATATGTGTGTATAGATGAAGGTAGAGATTTCTATTAAAGACAAAATGAGAGTTTTAGTTCATTGTTATCATATTCAAATTCTTTTTTTTTTCAGGGGGGTGGTATATACACAAGGCAAATATACAAATATATAACAAATATTTGTAAGTTACAGATATAAAGCATAAGGAAGCTCACTCCTCAGAAATAATTGGTGAGGAGAAATTGTCTTGAATCATATGCACAGGAGAAAGCAAGTTTGTTTATGTAGCCACATGACACTGATTCATTGTCATTTTACATAACATCCAATGAATACTGTCTTGGTTACTGTTCTTCTGCTGTGGAGAGACACCATGTCCAAGGCAACTCTTATAAAAGAAAGCATTTAACTGGGAGCTTGCTTACAGTTTTGGAGGGTTAGTCTATGCTCATTATGATGGGAAGCAGACAGGCAGAGAGTGGAACAGTAGCCAAGAGCTCTATATCTGCCTCATAAGCAGGCAGCAGGCAGAGAGCAAGACATTGGGCCTGGCATAGGCTATTGAAACCTCAAAGCCCACCCCCAGGGACACATTTTCTCCAACAAGGCCACACCTCCTAATCCTTCCAATCCTTCCCAAACAATTCTACTCCCTGGTGACTATGCACCTAAATATATGAGCCTGTAAGGGCTAGTCTCATTCAAACCACCACAAATATTGATGGTCCAAGTTTTTATAAGTTGTAAACTTTTGAAATAAGGAGATATGATCAAAGGAAATAAACTTTCATATAAAAAAATTCTTGGAATTGTGACCATACATAAAAATAGTCTATGTAGCTGAAACTTGCTAAATGAACAGCTCTTAAGCATTATCACCACAAACATACAAATGACCAAATGGAATGATAGACGTATTAGTCTGATCATGGTAATTATTTCAAAGTGTGTGTACATTTCAAATCACCATGTATACCTTAAATATATACAATTTTCATTTCAAGTTATATCTAAATAGAGAGGAGAAAAATAATTTTTACCTCATTGACACAAAGGCTAAATGCTAAAAACAAGAAATTTTCATAGCAATCTACTATTTAACATTTCCAATTGGTCATCTAAGTTTGTCACAGAGCAAACATTTATAAAAGGAAGTTCAACAGTTACTCTTCGCTTCGTTCAGAGTTCAGGCAAAATAGGCATGGACAAAAACAGTCACAGCCAGGAGGAGGATGGCATTGATATTCACCACATTTCTCCAAAAGGGCTTTTCAGAAGTGTCAGTAAATTTTTCCCTTAGGGCTTCTTCCTCCTCTTTGGTTAGCTTAGGCCCTGTGTTCTGCAAACCACAGAATAAGCCGCATACCCTCTTGAGACATCCACGGGATTGCTCAGAATCATCTAAAACAGGAAACACATGGATGCGTTACCACTAAAGACAGAAAATTGAAATCATTGTTGGCGCTGTACAAATCACTGTGAGCCATGTCACCACTTACAAGTGTCATGGAAATCTATGGAAAAATATGGTGAAATTCAACTATATAAAATAGAAAATCCTGCATGGTAAGAATCTAATAAGCAAAGTAAAATGAAATGAATAGTAATGGCATTGACATATCACAATAATTTTTTTTATCTCAATACTATAACGTGTTTATTTCAGAGAGAAATTTTGAGCATTTTTACAGTTACTGTATATTGGATTCTTTCTTTTTTAAAATGTTTTCATTGAAATAGAGTTCTATCACTTTTTTTTTCTCCTTTTCCTCCCTCCAGCTCCAACTGGCCTCCCTTGAACCCCTCCCATGAACCTCCCATTCTCAAGGTGATGGCTAATTGGACTTAAGGTCCACCAACAGGAAGGAGATCATGGCTAGAACTGTAAACCTCCAAGTGAGAGTGAGAGCATCAGACCTTAGGAAAGAACGTACTCCCACCACTTGGCTAGACCAACATTATTTCTTACTATATGCTAAATCTCATCTTGATAGCCGTAGATGAGTGTAGCTGCCACCCCTCATCAAGTGGAGACTGCAAATGGAGACTGCCACAGAAAACTACAACCGGACTCAATGCAGAGATTGATAGGTCGTGAAGACCTCAGCCACAGTGGATAGATACATCTACATCACAGCTCCTGCATCTATGGCTCCAGGAGCATCATGAAGGAGGTGGGAAGGACTATGAGAGGCAGAGTACCAGGAAATCTGCCATGAAACAGTCTCTCCTAGAAATGGCTGCTTAAACAAGACTGGAACAATGACCATATCAATGGATATGTGAACATGGGAGGGGGAACGTTTTGAGGGCTCCCACCCTTTGACAAAGAACTACAGGCAACTATTGATAATTCTCCTGGAAGAAGGAGAATTATCTTCTCCCAGGGATGACCCTAATTGGTTATCTAAGACAAAGTGGTCAGCCCTGAAACCATATATGTACAAATAACTAAAATAGATTCAGCAGATTGTACATATCTGTATACATATATATGAATACACATACATATATGTATATATGTAACAATTATAACAATAATAATATCAATGAGTTTTTAAAAACAGATAAAAGGACTATCAATAACCTCATGTAAACATGCTAAAAAGATGAAGAAACCATCAAAAGAACGATGACAGGTGGTTCATAAAATCATTCAGCAGCCGGAAGATGTCACACAAGCTCCTACCCCATCCCCATGGGCCAGGGCAGCAGGTGTCACTAAAGTGAACAAATATATAATGGAGAGATGAAAACGATAGAGTATGTGATGGAGAGATGGGAGGAAAAGATAAGTGGAGTGGTTTGCACATTGTGGAAAGAGGTGGAACCGGAGATATGATGGTGGTGAGGAACAGGCCGATAGGAGGAGCCTGCCCTGCCAATTAAAGCCATGCTGCTGTCCCGGGTCCAGGGGATGCTGGAGGCCAGGCTGCCACCAAGGGCCATGTCTGAGTGTCCTGTGCTGCCACCTTGGGCCATGGTGATGTCCAGGCCTGGGCTGCCACCAAGGGCCATGTCTGGGTCCATGGCCCTGCCACAGTCGGGGTCAGTAATGTCCATGGCCCATGTTGCCACCAAGGGCCACATGAATATCCATGGTCTGGGCTACTGCCTGAGGGGAGCCAAACTGATCTGAGTGTCCTGTGCTGCCACCTGGGGCCATGGTGATGTCCAGGCCTGGGCTGCCACCAAGAGCCATGTCCGTGGTCCTACTGCAGCCAGGGTCTGTACTGATGTCCATGGCCCAAGTTACCACCAAAGGTCATACAGTGTGATCTGGGCTGCCACCTGAAGCCATGTTGATAACAGAGGGCCATGCTGCTGCTGGGAGTCATGCTGATCTGAGTGACCTGCTCTGCCACCTGAGGACAGGAGAGATTGCCTCCCCAACCCACCCCATGTGTGTGTGCGTGCGTGTACACACACACACACACACACACACACACACACACACACACACACACACTGGCTGTAGCACTCAAGAAAGCAAGCCCAACATCTCGCCTGGGCAGCACAGTAGAGCTTGCCCTGGTCCTATGGGCATGGGAGAGTTGGTCCTGCCCCTTGCCAGCTGCCATAGGCAGGAAAGCTGGCCACACCCCTCACCTGGGGCAACACAAGAAATCTGGTTCTGGTGGCATGGGTACAGGAGAGCAGACAGGCTGACTAGCTAATTCAGGCCCAGATCTGTGGCTGAGACTTGGCCCACCCCAATATCTACCCTATCCATGAACTGCTGGAGTGGGTGAAGGGGTCAGCCATGCAGATCCAAAGCTGCAGCATCTCCATGACACAGGGCAACAATAGAATTTCCAAGAGGAGAGCTGGTGAGGGTCTAGTATTGATAGTGTAGCAGAAGTCAGCGACCTCGAACCAGTCCAATGTCTCATTGCAATGAACATTTGCAACTTAAGCTGTTTGGGCAAAAGGGTGGACTGTGTGGTAGGTACACTGCAGCTTCCACAGTGAGATTTTTGTTTGTTTGTTTTCTTTGAGGGGAGGAGGTTGTAGGTAGGGGTGGTGAGTGGATATGGGGAGATGAGTGGGATTGGGGTGCATGATGTGAAATTCACAAACTATCAATAAAAAGTTAAAAAATATATTTTAAAAAAATTACTCAGCAAAGAAGTATTTAAATTAAAGTATTTCAAAATACTAGTTCTCCATCATTAACAAACATATAAGGTTTTATATTTGTGTTACAGAGTCTGTGTGGAAACAGGAGCTATTATATGCTGTTGTAAAGAAATTTAACTCCTAATTATGGGAATTTGGAGAAGATAGCAAAATTATATAGTCGCCCTCCCTTCAATCCAACAGTCAAGCTTCTTCAAATCTTCAGATGGTATAGTGGGTCACATACAAAAAGTTGTGTGCAACGTTCTTCATTGTAGAATTGGAAAAATTTGAAACATACTTCTAAACAGAAATCTATGAAAAATTATAATAAAAGTAAGACAAAACAGAAATACATGGTAATGAAACTGATACAAAGCAAACCTATTAAACACAACAGAAGTATTTGGAGTAGTAGCAAACAGCCAATGAGCTTTGTTTCTAAAAGAGACTGAAATTAGGAGGCTGAAAATAAATTCCCAACCCATCATCCAACCTAAGTTAGAAACCATATCAAATAAAGGGACTCTAAATACTATAAATGGAAGGATAAACAAATGACAGAAGGTCACAAAATAAGACAGAACAATAATGCTCAAGAGAAACAAACCTAAAAGCTAGTTCCTTGATAAAAAATAGACTAGGTTAGTCTTAATCAGGATTTATGAAGGAATCTGCCTGCCTGGACTAGAAGATGTGTTGGGAAGAATAGGGAAGAATAAGGCTGCAGAGGAGACTGAGTCAGACACTCAGGCATGAGCAACTGAGACTGATTTGTTGAACACAATATGTAATTACAGACAGGACAGTCTGTAACTAATTATTATTTTGGCAGCTGGCACTCATTTTCATTGATACATGGTGGATGGATGGATGGATGGATGGATGGATGGATGGATGGATGGATGGATGGATGGATGGGTAGATGAACTGGAAATGAATAAATGAATCTCATATTAAATGATCAGTAGCTTTAGATGTTGAGAACATGTTTTTAAATGTTTTAGTTTTATACACACACATTTAAATCTCAGAAGCTGAATCTAGAGAGATTAAAACCAAACATAACCCATAAAAGCCCACACAGCCAAACCACACACAGTGTTCTTATATTAAAACAAATGTAAGCCAGATATTACCTTCTTCAAGAGCACTACCAACTTCTTCATGACTTTCCTCTTCTGCATCTAAGTCAATCCGCTTTTCTGTGCTGTTCCAAAGACTCCAGCACAGGCGGTATAGCTAACCAGAGACAACACACAAGTCTATTAGTGATGGGGAGATACTTACAGGATTGACAGATAGCCATGAAATCTGCTGCAAACTCACACCAAAGCAGTGATGGGTACGCCAGGCAACAGGGGAAGTCTAGGATGAAGCCAGCGCAAGTCAGGGTTAGAATCCAGTGATTCCTTGTTCAGTACAGGGTTTTAAAAAACGTAACTGTGCCGGTTAAACTGTATAGGTTAAAGGGGAAAGGTGTCCCACAAACTCTGTCACCAAAACACACCAAACATTTTGAATGATTCTGTTTCTGGATCTGTCATGCTTAGATAGTGTCTGTGAGCTGTTCTTGATTTCTGCCTTCCCACCTGCCTTTCTTAACACACACGCAAACTTCTACCACCTGCGATCTTAAACTAAATTTGTTTTCATCTTGATTGCTATCATTTCAGATTTTCATGCTTGATCTGTGTGTTGATTAATATCAGCACTAGGGAGAGACAGGCAGGAAGACTCTATGAATTCAAGATTAGCCTAATTCATAATGATAATGTTGTCAAACTTATACAAATTGGTCCGTGATTTTCTTCTACCAGTTTGTGAGTATTTAGCTTTCTTGTTTGTTTTTGATATAAAAATTAAAAGCTTTTATGTTGTCTCTAAGATTCCCTTACCATATAATATAAACACTTAAAATACCATTCGTTCTATTAACCCACTTGATTTTTAAAACATCCTTCTTCAGAGTCCTTGAATTCTAACCCTGACTTGCGCTGGCTTCATCCTAGACTTCCCCTGTTGCCTGGCGTACCCATCACTGCTTTGGTGTGAGTTTGCAGCAGATTTCATGGCTATCTGTCAAACAGCTCTTGATACTAATTGGTCTGCTTCAGAAGTTGAAAGTTCACAGTACATTCGAACCAAATGATGATCTCATTCATCCCTGAGACCAGTTCTTTAAAAATTATTACTAAGCTATGAGTATTCCTATTATCATATAGCTTCATATTTACATTTTGCCTTGGTGAGTTAGGTGTTTTCCTGTGTGCTTTTGTTCCATGCCCACTATCAAACAAAAGTGTTTAGTGATGAATTCTGGTAAGATGTCACTAATAAAGTTTTTTGTTTTGTTTTGTTTTTAGCTGCTACATGTTTCAAGTTCCCAAAATAGACATCTTGAACTGGCTGCTCCTCAAGCATATATGCAAATAGGTGCTACATTAAAGATTGTGAATGATAAACACAAAATACATAGCTGTATTATTACATGCTAGTAATGAACTGAAACATTGTTATTAAATAATTAGTATACATATTTTTAAAGGATTAGTGTCCCTTGTTTTAAAGATAAGTCTATTTTATTTTTTAAATGATATTATAGGGTAGTATAATATTCTGATTGTTTTTTCCTGATTCAACCATGTTATGAACATTTAAATATAAATTAGTTCTTCTTTGTTGTATATCTATTCTCTTACTGATAGAAATCTGGATTTCATCTATTTTTTTACTTAGAAACATTTGCAGAGAGACTTATTATATTTTTTGTTTTTGTGTGTATATTTCTACATAAACTACTAAAGGTAGAATTATTAATTCATAGATATAAGAATTTTTTAACAGCAAATACAAGTTACCCTCTTACAAACTGTAAAATTTACACATTCGCCAACAAGTGTGGATTGTAGAAAATTTCCCACTTTCTTACCAACACTGAACATTTTTTGGTCAAAAATGAATATCATATTTCCTATGTTCTTGTCCCTGTTGCTGTGTGCATTTTATCTCTATACATGTTGTGGATGATATTTGGTTTGCCCCTGTGTCTGCCCAGTTCAGGTGCCTCTTCTGTTCTTGGGTGTTTTGTGGTCTCTTAGGCAACACCAAGTGCTGTCATTCTGATCTCCTGAAACAGTGGTGCAGAGCTTCCTCCAAGCTCCATTATGAGGATTTCGAATTCCCAGTTCATTCCCTAATCTCACATCTCCATTCTCTGGTGTTTTGCATGTGCTAGGTGAAAAGCTGTTGTTTAGATGGAGTCTAACTCCAGAGTTACCCTGATTCCATTGCCTGAGCCTGTACAGAAGCCAACAGTGCTAGGAAGGGAAGAAATGCAATTTTCAAATTAGCACGGAGTCATCACTCATTACTCACATGAACATCAGGAATTGGTTTTGTTAGGAAGGAGATTCCCAGGACTATTAATACGGTCACGAAAAACACAATGACGGCAAAGTACATATAGTGCACTCCACAGATAATCGTTGGACAGTTACTGGGAGCTAAGCAACTCCCTGTTCCATATGCAAACTCTGTGATCATACGAATAAGGCCCATCACAAGTCCAGCCATTAGCCCCCAGAATGCTCCCTGGGGGGAATAAAAGAATGAAATCAATGCTCAGAAAACATGAGATCTTTGAAGTAAGCACAGTTACCATGCTGCCTGCTCCATCAAGGAAAAGTAAGTGGCAAACCATGAGGATGGATTTTCAAAGAAAGTTGCAGATATGTCTGCACTAGTGGGATATTGTTGTCCATGTTTCTCGGGTACCAGAGCACTTTAATACCTGTTTGTTTTGATTTATGTCTGTGTATATCTGCTTATTTGTAGGTGTACCACATGCATGAAGTACCTGCAGAGGCCAGAAGAGGGTGTTAGATTTCCTGAACCTGGAGTCACAGGCAATGAAGAGCACCCCCCAAGTGTGGGTTCCAGAAACCAACCTGGGTCCTCTGCAGGAGCAGCAAGTGCTCTTAACTTCTAAACCATCTCTCTGGCTCTCTAGTGTGCATTTCTTTCTCTTGTATTCCATTCATTATTGACAAATGATATTTGCACACACTTATAGGTACAAATAGTTTATATTATGATGTACATATTACCAAATGACTTAAATTATTTAATTTCCATACTTCAACATCACATTTTTTATTTTATTTTATTTTATTTTACAATACTATTCAGTTCTACATAACAGCCACAGATTCCCTTGTTCTCTCCCTTCCTGCCCCCCTCCCCTTCTCCCCAGCCCACCCCCCATTCCCACCTCCTCCAGATCAGGTCGAGGGAAAGAGAGCGGGAGATCCTAGCTGGATCAAGAAAAGAGAGGGAGAACAAGGAATAGGAGACCATGGTAAATGAAGACCACATGAGAAAAGGAAGAAACAAAGAGCTAAAGAGGCCCACAGAAATCCACAAAGATACCCCCACAAAAGACTGGTGGCAATGGTCGAGAGACAGCCGGGACTGACATTTTTATTTTTTTTTAAACTCCAGAACTCTGCTATATAGTCTAGCCAAAGCTGAGGTTTTCTTCACTTTTGTTTTTCAGTCTATAGGTTTAAACACTTGCTACTTATCTCTCCAAATAAGCAGCTCTATGACTTACATAACTGTCAGGGCTGATAATAGGTATGTTTGACAAGTCAAAGCTTCCCTTTTCTCCCAGAGATGGGTGGTGTTGTAAACACCTGATCTCAGTTCTGCTCTCGGGAACTAGCATGGCATGTAGATTAGGATCATGGGCTCTAGACCGCAGGAGACCACATTTGAATCCCAACACCCTACTTATTAAGTAAGACATGGCGGGCAAAATAGACATCCATTTCTCTACACATGTTCCTTAACTGAAGGTTATATTAACAGGACTAACACTCAGCAACAGTTCATGGATTAAGGTAATGGTCTGTGAGAATCAATCATTTACAGAATAATAGCATTTAACATGTTTGAGTTAGTACTAATGTAGTAGTTTTTTTCTTTTACCTTTTTAGAGCTTTATTAGAAAAAGGAGAGAGAGAGAGAGAGAGAGAGAGAGAGAGAGAGAGAGAGAGAGAGAGAGAGCCAGAGAGACACGGAGAGAGACAGAGACCTCGCAGAGGGAAAGTACAGAGAGAGTACAGAGAGAGATAGATTTTTCTTATAAACATTTTACATGTCCTCTGTTTCTACCCTCTTAGTGGCACTCAAATAAGGTGGGTACCACTGTTGATTTTGTATTACAGGTTTGCATGATTTACTTGAGATCAATACACGAAAATTGTAAAGCTATGACTAGACCCTGGAAGTCTCTCCAAAATGAGTTTTGGTCAGCACTTTGCCATGAATGTACATAATTTATGAGAAATGTAAAGACTTTTCATTTGAGTGGGCACTGTATAGTCATATATATCTGTGAGGATTATAAATTGCGGCTTACCACAACTGAAGTTGAAATGGCCCTTAAGTGATAGACATAGGTTGGACAGAATGCATTATTTTTGAGATGGATTGTCACTCTGTTGCCCGGATTGGTCTTGAACTTCTGAATTCAAGATGTCTTCCTGACACAAACTCCTGAATAAGATTCTGGAACTATAGGTGTGGGCCACTGCACCTGAGTAAAAGAACGCCTTTTCCCATCCCAGAAGAAGTCCTAATTTTTGCCTCGTTCTTGCAAACTTCCCCTTACCTGCTCATTGACTCTTTTAAAGAAGATGGCAAGCATGAAGACAGCACCGATGGGAGGCCCGATGTAGCTAGAAAATGATGCTATGTAGTGGAACAGCTGTCCATTCTGTGATGACTGTACCAGTGGGACCCACAGGATGCTGATGACGATTAGAACGATGGAGAAGAGCCTGTCCAGGAAACACGGTGACTTAAAGATTAAGCAAAAGCATTCTGTCGGCCTCCACTGCTCCTCAAGCTATTCTTCTGCTCTTTCATTAGTTTTCCAGGCAAAGTCAAGCTGCTTGACCTTGCATGAACCAACACCATGCCCAATGGGTACCTGGCAGTAAAATGCCAATGAATAGACTTCTTTTCAATAATTAGCCACTACATTTTTATGTATAGCCTTAACTTCCCACTCACAAAAATCAACCGAAACTGCAGTAATTAGTAGTTTGTAATATATACACCAATTAGAAAGAAACACTAAACTATTTCTACCTATCAGTAATCATTTGTATTATAAATAAAGCAGACTTATATTTTGGCTTTTTTCATAGCTTGAGGGAAATTGAGTCAATTTGCATAGACTCAAATTAAAATATCAAATATCTAAGAATGTTGCATGTCATGGCAAGAAATGCTATGCATGCATTTCCTAACTAAAGTATTGCAGCAACTAAAACGAATGTGTCAAAAATACTGTCAAGAGGTAAAAAGCTGTTACAGGTAGCTGCGGTCTGTGGGAGATAACTTCATTTGTAAACCCTAGTGTCTTAAGTGCTTGCCAACAAACAATTTACTAGACAGTGTGTCCACCTGAGCAAACAGTAGCACTGGGATGCATGGGAGCCCAACTTGTCAGGGTATAGATGGATAAGTGTCCTGTCCAAACTTCATAAACCACTATACTCTTAACAACATTAGAACAACGAATAATGAAAAGTTTTAGCATAATGTCAAAAACATTAATGATTTAATTAACTATCCCCACCATATTCGTAACTATCACTGGAAAACAAACACGTGCCCCTCCAGCTCACCTAACTTCAGTGCCTCCTGTCACATACATAATCAAACCTAAATCCGCGCTGTCAGTAAGTGAGCCTGTTTTGTGTCTCTTGTCTGCCATGCTAAGCTTAGCTGTATCACTCTCACATACCCCTGTGTATTAACATGACTTTTTGCTTTCAATAAAAATACCATATCCTGTCCACTGATTTTTGTTTGTTTGTTGTTTTTTGAGACAGGGTTTCTCTGTGTAGCTTTGTGCCTTTCCTGGAACTTGCTTTGGAGACCAGGCTGGCCTCAAACTCACAGAGATCCACCTGCCTCTGCCTCCCGAGTGCTGGGATTAATGGTGTGCACTGCCAACACCCGGCACACTGATTCTTGTATAGAAGATGGAAGGTAGAAGATGGATGCTCAAAACAGTGATTAAAAAAAAAAAAAAAGTATTCTGACTAAAAAGTTCAGGTCCAGATAGGTTCACAGCAGAATTTTACCAAATTTTCAAAAAATATTACAGCTAATACTTCTTAAATTATTAAACAAATTAGAAACAGAAGAAATTCTTCCAAACTCCTTGCATGAAGCCAGGATTACTCTAATACCAAAATAATGTAAAGATACAACAGATAACAAAACTTATAAACCAATATCCTTGATAAACATGACTGAAAAAAACAATAAAATACTTGCAAATGTAATACAAGCATATATCAAAAAGATTATCCATCATAGCCAAGTTGGCTTTATCTCATAGATTCAGGAATAGTTCAACATACACAACTCCTAATTGTAATAAATCATATAAATGGACTGAAAGACAAAAGTCACATGATCATCTCAATAGATGCAGAAAAGGCTTTTACAAAATTCAATGACTTCATGATAAAAGTTCCAGAGAGAATAGGACTGGAGAAAACATATCTTAACATGATAAAAAGTTATCCACAACAAATTCATAGTCATCATCATCCTAAATGAAAGAAAAGTCAAAGAATCCCATTAAAAACAGAAAGAAGCCAGGGCTGCCCACTATACTCACTCCTTTTCAATATAGTTCTGGAAGCACTAGGTGGACCACAAAGGCAAGAGAGGATAATTAAAGGATTACAAATAGGAAAAGAAGAGTCAAACTATCCCTATTTGCAAATGACATGATATTATACATAAAAGATCCCAAAAATTTCACCAGAAAAATTCTAGAAATAATTAAAAAAAAAAAACCTTCAGCAATATGGCAGGATACAGAATCAAATCACAAAAATACATTAGTTTTTCAATATACCTACAACAAACACCAAGAAAGAGATTTTGAACATGTTCTACCCATGAGAGCCTCAAAAACTTAAAATATTGAGGAATATACTCAACCAAGAAGGTAAAAGAGCTCTAACATGAAAATGTTAGATTTCCGAAGCAAGAGATTGAAACAGACACTAGTAAGTGGAAAGACCTTCCATGATCATGGGCTAGCAGTATTAATATTGTGAAAATGACCATCCTACCAAAAGCTATTTACCAATTAAAAGCAAGCCCAATAAAAATCCATCTCTTACCTCACAGAAATAAAAACATCCTATAATTCATATACAGAACCTTAAAGACCCTGGATAGCCAATGCAATTCTGAGCAGAAAAAAATAAACATTGATGGAGGGATAACCATCTATATATTTCAATATATTATAGATCTATTTTAATAAAAAAACATTTTATAGTGGTACAAAAAAAAACAGATGTGTAGACCAATGGAATAAAATAGAAGACTCAAACATGAGTGTATGTAACTACAACTCTCTGGTCTTTGACAAAGATGCCAAAAACATACACCCAAAGAAAGATAACATCTTCAACAAATGGTAGTAGGAAAACTAAATGTCTACATGTTGAATGATGAAATTAGACTCACAACTATTACCTTGCACAAAACTAACTACAAAAGATCAAAGAACTGAGTGTGAAACCCAACTTGAATTTCAGTGAAAGTAAAAACACTGAAATTACTAGAGGAAAAGATAGGCAGTAACCTACATGGTATTAGTGTGGGAATGGACTTTCTCAATAGAACTCCATTTGCCCAGGAATTAAAGCTAATAATTGATAGGCATAACCTCATGAAAATTAAAAGCTTCTGCGCAGCCACTGAGACAATCAGTGGAGTGAAGAGGAACCCTACAGAATGAAAGAGAATTTTTGTCAGCCATACATGTGGCACTGGATTAATACCAGAATATAAAAACAACCTTTAAAAAGGTTTTTATAAAATAAAAAAAATCCACAATAAAAAAAAGGTTTTTAAAGAAGACACATTGAGAAAGTGAGCTACAGATCTCAATGGAAAGTTCTCAAAAGAAGAAATAAAATTGCTAAAAAAAAAAAAAAAAGTATCTCAAAAATATTTATCAGCTCTATCAGTTAATGAAATGTAATTTAAAACAACTTTGAGATGCCATCTTATCCAAGTCAGACTGGTTAATATCAACAAGACATCTAACAACAAATTCTGGAGAGATTTGGGGGAACAGGAGCCCTCACTTGCTATTGGTGTGATTGTAAAGTAGTGCAGTCATTTTAGAATCAGTGTGGGGAACTCTCAAAAAGCCAAAAATAAATCTATCATATGATTCAGATATACCACACTTGGACATACGAGCAAAGAACTCAATACCCTGCTTCACAGATACTTGATAAGCAATGTTCATTGCCGTTCTAGTCACAATAGCTAGGAAATGAAAACAGCAGAAATGACCTTTGTCTGACAAATGGCTAGTGAAAATGTGACAAACACACACACACACACACACACACACACACATTTCTCTAATTCGTGGTTCTTCATTTCAAATCATCGTACGTGAGTAGTATATGACTTGGAAAAATGGCAGAAAGTAAAAAGGAACTATGGGAGCCAGGAGACAGTCACTATGTTGGGGGAAGTGAGAAAAACAAGCAGGCAGCTTTCATTGGGTAGTAGGAAGGGAGATCAATTCAGAAGAAGAAGGGAGTCGGGACAAATAACTCTGAGCTTGCTTGAAACAGCCTTAATAAGACCTCATATCTTTTTATATATTCACCTAAAATTGCATACACTATATATGTGTGTGTGTGTGTGTGTGTGTGTGTGTGTGTGTGTGTGTGTGTGTGTAGACATATCTATTTTAAACGAAGTTGTGACAGTTGGGCTGACATAACTTTCTACGAGAGCCATAGGCTGTCATCTAACAAAAACCCCAGTGTCTGGCACAAAAAAGCTCCCCCTGAGTTGTTGATGAGGGTAGTTCAGGAGATACATAAAACAATATAGGCTATTACTATTGCTGTTGGCTCCTTCCCAGAGGTAGAAGGTAAGGTCCTGTTCCCCAAGATGCCATAGATAGCCTCTGGACAAGGACTCAGAAGATTCAAGCCGGATCTAACCTGAAAGCCTCTTCCTGGAAGTCTATTTTTCCTAGTATTAGAATGTGCTGTGCAAGCTGCCAAGGAAGGGAAGCCATCAGTAGTCCTGCCTGATGATGATACCTAGGACTCACAATGACCAGCATGGCAAGACACCCTAAAGGTGCAGAAGTGGCACTCAGGGTTTGACTGTAACCAACGGTTCTCTAATTGGACTGAAAACTGCCTCAACAGGGAGGAAAATTATGCCTGATACCCAGCCAATTACCTTGGATTAGTGAGGTCATCGATCTTAGAGGAGAACAGACTATACCACTTCACTGAGCCCACAGAATTACTAACTGTATTCTATGCACTTATCTTTATATTCATGGATAAGTATACATCTCACCCCTTATTCAAGAAGCTTTTCTTTGCAGCAAGTGGATACAATTACAGAAAACAACTGGTCAAAATGCAGATATCAGGTATTGGCATGCGTATCTCCAGAGGATACATCTACAACATAAATCCTTACACCCAAGGCTCAGAGATTATCACAGAAGATTATCAGAGCCAGAGGACTAGAATATCCCTGTGAGATTATGTCTCCTAGAAATGGCAGGGAAACTATACCCATGACATATGAACATTATTGCTGCCTAAAAAAAAAACCTGAACAATAACAACATGAACAGATGTGCTAATACAGAAGGACGAAATATCACAAGGTCCCCACCCCTAGACAAATAACAATAAGCAATTAATGACTACTGAAAGAGAAAATTAGTCTTCCCCAGGGATGAGTGCCCTAATTAGTTATCAAGTGGTCAGACTTAAAATCATATACATAAAAGTGTCACTGACAGACTCAGCAGGATGTGTGTATGTATATATAATAATCTTAAAAAAAGGCCATGAATTTGAGAAGGTGTGTAGCAGGACATGGAAGGGGTTCGAGGCAGGAGAAATGGGGGTTAATGGGAATAAAAGGAGGGGTAATTGTATAATTGTATTTTAATTAAAATAAATAATAACTTAAAAATTAAAATATATCTCAATATCGATTCTGCTTGAAAATTAAAAGGAGAAAAGGATGCCACATTGGCTATTATTTCTTCTTGTTTCCATCCATCTTACTGTCTTCAAGGCCCCAAGGCTACCAGGATCCATTGGGTTGATAAAACTCTCCAGGCAGCCTCTTGGATTTTATCTCTTTGGGGGTCTGTCTCTATCTAGCATGCTCATCCTTTAGTGAATGCAGTTGGTAAACTTCCCTGTGTTAAGTGTGTGGATGAGGAAGTTTCTCATCTCCATGTGGTATGCATAGAAACTGTTAAAGGAAACACAGTTAGCTATCAGACTTACAATACGAAGTATATCCCATTAAACATGGATGAAGTTTTGTGAAGATATGGTGTAGGGACAATGAAGAGGGGAAGGAATAAGTAAGTAAACTAAAATGTTTGTGTCTGTAAAGAGAAAGGTTGAATTGAACATTCCCCATGATTCTTCCCATGGTAGAACTACATTTTTAGTTTCACTGAATCCAGAGACCAGGGGTCTGTAGTTCCTATCTACATGCACCCTCCTCAGAGGAGTGCTAGGCAGAGACCAGGTTCCCTCACCGTCCAGCAATCAGGAGCTCTCTCTCAGATGCCTTCTTCCTCATCTTGGTGTAGAGGTCCATGGTGAAGAGGGTGCTGGCGCTGTTGAAGATGGAGGTCAGGCTACTCATGAGAGAGGCCAACATGACTGACAGCATCAGGCCTCGAAGTCCTGGGGTCAGGAGAGGGTAAAGCTCTGGTTAGAGGGGATGTCATGGCTTATGAGTGATTTACTACATCAAAGAGCCATGCAAAGGCGAAACCGTCACTTACAAAGTTATTAGATAATATAATTATCAGTGTACATCATCACTGAATTTTTCTTGGAAATTTAACCAGTTAAAGCACACAAAAGGTTTAGAAAGTCATTGAAACACAGTAGAGGTTCAATTGTGTGTTGGATACTATGATTATTCATGTAAAGTGAATACATCATTACAGAATATTTATAACAAGGTTCAATCAAATTAACCGTACTTGAATATAAAAAAAACAATGTGGTAGTGAAATGCTTGACTTTTAATCTGAGAATTTAATTTTTAAAATACAAAGCCATCATGTGGCTAGTTAGTTTCTATAATTTAAAATTAGCTTAAGATGTAAATATCTAGATTTATAATGCAAATATTTTCTAAGGTTCATTGCTCAGATTTAGCTTAGTGTGTGCTTTGATACTGAATTAGTTTCTTAAAAAGAAGTATACACTTGAAACTACATTTCATAAATTCAATTGTTTCTGCTGAAAATAAATTACTGGATTTTGCAAACTCTCAGTCTGAGAATTCTTCTCAAAATTTTACTAGTGCTTTTCGAGTGTCCTACAATGAGTTTTGACCATATTTACTCCCACCTCCAACTCTTTTTCAGATTCATCTCCCTTTCTCTAACTACCCAACTCCGTATCTACCCCCGCCAAAAAAACCCAAAAATATCAAGACCAAATTGCACTACCCAAACGTTCTTGGATGTATTGTCTTCCATAGGATCATGTTTAGCTTACAAGAGGCTAAACACTTAGAGACAACTGTTTCTTCCTCCCCTAGGAGCTAACAATTGCCAATAGCTATACAGCTATGAGATTTCATGCTCAACTCCCATATCTATGCTGGGCTTTGTCTGCCTGGGGGTTTTGCAGATCCTGTGCATGCTAATGCAACTGCCTTGAGCTCTTATATGTAACTGCCCAGAAGACACTGTTTTCTTGTAGCCACTTGCTGTCCCTGTCTATTATACTCTGTCTTCATATTCTCCTATAATGATCCCTGAGTATTGGGAAAAGGGGCTATGGTTCATTTGCTCCACTTAGGACTAAGCATTCTGTAGTTTCTTATTCTAATTACCTTCTACTGCAAAAAGAAACTTCTCAGATTGAGAAATTCATTGACCCTCTGTCAGATGTATAGTTGATAAAGATTCCCCCCTGCCCCTCCATTCTCTGGAATACTTCTTCATTTGATTATGTCATTCACTGTATACAAATGTTTTAGTTTATGAGGTCACATAATTAATTGATGGTTTTAATGCCTGCACTATCGAATTCATGTTCAGAAAGTCCTTTCCTGAGCTGATAAATTCAAGTGAATTTTCTACTTTCTCCTCTGTCAGACTCATGATATCAGGTCATGTGTTGAGATCCTTGATCTATTTGGAGTTCTGTTTTGTGCAGATGATAAAAAGGGGATCTCATTGTATAGCTATCCAATTTGACCAACATTATTTTTGAAGACACTAACTTTTCTCCAATATTGTATCATTGGTCTCTTTGTCAAAAAAGAAAAGATAAGATCAGGTGGTTGTAAGAGTATGAGTTTATATGTGGGTCCTCAATTCTATCTCTTTAATCAATGAGTCTGTTTTAGCTCTGCAGTATAACTTGAAATTTTGGACAGTGATGCCTCCAGCAGTTTTTTGCTGTTCAAGATTATTTTGGTTATTATGTTTTTTTAAAATATATATTTCCATATGAAGTTTCAAGTTATTTTCTCAATTTCTTTTAAAATCTGTGTTGGAATTTTGATAATTGTAGGGAATCTGAGAATTGTTTTTGGTAGGATGGCTGACTATTTTCACAATATTCACAATTTTCATCTTACCTATTCATGAGCATTGGAGCTTTTTCTATTTTCTGGTATCTTCTACAGTTTTTTTTTTTTTTTTTTTTAGTATTTTAAAGTTTTTGTTGTATAAGTCCTTCAGTTTCTTACTTAGATTTCTTCAAAGATAATTTATTGAGGGTATTTGGAATGCTATTGCTTCCTTTATTTATTTATTTATTTATTTATTTTTGGGTGTGTTCATCATTTGTATATAAAAAGGCTACTGGTTTTATTGTGTGTGTTAAATTTGTATCATGAAAATTTTCTGTGTGTAGTTTTATTTATCAGCTAGAGTTTTCTAGTGGAATCTTTATAGTCTTTTATATGCAAAATCATCATTCACAAATAAACACAGTTTGACTTCTACTTTCCTATCTGTATTCTCTTCACTTATTTTATTGCTCTGGCAAAGACTTCAAGTACTATGTTGAGTAGGTATGGAGAAAGTGGACATTCATGTCTTGTTCCGTGTGTGTGTGTGTGTGTGTGTGTGTGTGTGTGTGTGTGTGTGTAAATACTTTGAGTTTTTCTTTGTTGAGGATTTTTGTTGTGGGATTCCTATATATTGCCTTTTATATGGATATGTCCCCAGTAACCTTATTTCCTCCAGGAATTTTTATCATAAATGGATGTTGGATTTTGTTAAAGATCTTTTCTGCATCTAAGGAGATGAATGTGTGATTTTGCGCTTGTGTCTATTTATGTGGTGAATTATGTCTATTAATTTATGTTTGTTGAACTATCTCTGCTTCTCTGGGATGAAGTTGACTTGATCATGGTGGATAATCTTTTTGCAGTGCCCTTTTCTGTTTATAAGCAATCCATTGAAAACTTTTATATTGAAGTTAATGATACATATTGGTCTATAATTTTCTTTTTTGTTGTTGGGTCTTTTCTTGCTTTGGTATCATGATAATATTGGATTTGTAGAGGGAATTTGGAAAATATCCTTTTCTATTTTGCAAAATAGTTTCAGAAGTATTGGTCATAATTCTGGTATGATTCTACAGTTTATCTATCTGGCCCTGGGCCTTATTTTTTAGTTGGGAGATTACTAATTACAGTTTTTAATCTTGCTAGATGTTATGGTCTATTTAAATTATTTATTTAATCTTGATTTAACTTTGGTAGGTTGTATACATTTAGTTAATCCATTTCTATTAGATTTTCCACTTTGATGGGTTATGAGTTCTTAAAGTATATCCTTGTGATTCTCTGAATTTCTTCCCCTTTTTATTCCTTATTTTATTTATTTGGACCACAGTTCTCTTTCTTCTGGATAATTTTGTTAATGTTTGTCAATCTTGTTAAACATTTCATAAAACCAGTTCTTTATTTCACTCATTCTTTGTATCATTACTTTTTGTTTTCATTTCATTAATTTCAGCCCTGATTTTGATTATATACTTTTGACTATTTGATAGGGAATTGTTGATCATTCTTGTTTTCTAAAGCTGTCAGGTACATCATTAAGTTATTTGAGATCTCTTAAAATTTTAGATGTAGGTATATAAAGATGTGAACTTTTTTCTCATGGCTGCCTTCATCATGTCTCGTAGTTTTAGGTATTTTGTGTTCTCATTTTCATTCAGATCTAGGATTTAAAAAGGTTTTCTTGATTTCTTCTTTCAGTCAATTTGGCTGAGTAGTGTGTTGTTTCACTTTCATGGATTTGCATACTTTCTCCCATTCCTGTGTTATTGATATCCATCTTTGATGTATAGTGGTCATATAGAATGCAAGACATCATTTCAAATTTCCTAAATTTGTTGAGACAAATTTTTTTTTCATGATATGTAGTCTATTTTGGAGAAAGTTCTATGATGTGTATTTCTCGGTGTTTGGATGGAATGTTCTATAGACACAATTTAGTCCTTTTGATTTATGATGCTATTAACTACAGAATTTCTGTATTTCATTTTTTCCAGTTGATCCATCTATTGAATAGAGTTATGTATTAAAATTATCAATTATCACTGTGTTGTAGTCAATCTATGATTTTAAATCTAATAGTGTTTATTTTATAAAACTGGGTGTCTCTTCATTTTGGTGCATATATATTTAGAATTGTAATATCTTATCATTGAATATTCCCTTTAATGTGTATAAAGTGGCCCTCTTTATTTCTTTTGACTAGTTTTAGTTTGAAGTCTATTTCATTGTATATTAGAATAGCTCTTCCTGCTTGTTTCTTAGTTCCTTCCACTTTGAATACTTTTTTCTAACATTTTACCCTTTGGTGGTGACTATCAATGGTGGTGATTGTGTTTCTTGGAAGCAGCAAAAAAGTGGACGCTGTTTTCTGCTCCAGTATGATAGTTCATGTCTCATTTTTATAGATTTGAGAGCATTATTGAACTTATTGTTGAACAAGGACCATAGAGGTGGTACTCAGGACTTTTCCCTCAGGCAAAGGGTTCTGATGGAGTTGAAGATGTGCTTCTAGGATCCCTACTTGAAGAGGAGGCACTGTGGGCATGGAATGCAAATGTTCAAAGGTAAGTCATCGGAGAGGGTGGAGTTGCTGGTGTATGCCTAATGACTCTATCTGGAAAGGAGCAGTCCTTGGGTCATGGGGATGGATGGAGTTGGTGGCCTGATTCTTGTGTCTACCCAGAAAGGGGCTCGCACAGTGGGAATGGCTAGAATTTGTGGGGTGGGTGGACTTGCTGGTTGGAGCCTAGGATTTATGCCTAGGGGTGGGGGCAGGAGGTAAGGGCCCTCAGCAGGGGTGGATGTGTCTAGTGACACACGTTGGGCCTCCATACCTGACAAGAGCATGAAAGAGGGGGCACAGAAAGTCACACTCTGGGTATGTTCTTCTTAGGCAAGTCACAAGATCATCCATTATTGCATTTTCCTCTAGTAATCTGAGAATGATCCAGTGCATAAATTTAGTGCTAAATGTTTACTTAAAGGTCATGTGCTGGAAACTACTTTGGAAGAATGGAAATAATATGGTACTATCTTTCTTTGGGGGAGAAACTCTTGGCTTCCTGAAGACTCTGAGAATTGGATAGAGTCCTCGCAGGTGATATTGCTGATAAACCTTTATGGGCAAAGCTGGTTTTAAATCATTGAGGGAGTTTCACAGTTCAGCTACTTCCACCCATTAGTAATGACTCCAGGCCTCCCAGTACAGGGTAGATGACATGCACACTACTTTGAGTGTGTGGAGTACATTCCTTTTATCCTGAACATGTTTGTGTGTATCAGGGAGGAAAGTCAGCACAAAACCGTTAGACAAGATCCCAGACCACCCAGTCACTTCTGAGCTCTGTATCTTTCTCTATGCTGCCCACAGCAATGATCATCGCTGGAAATTTGAGTAATCTGATCCTCATGCAGCCTACTATCTACACTGAAAAACTACAATGAGTTCCAAGGTGTAGGGCAACTGTACTTACTTTACTGATGAATTATAAGATCCAAAGCAATGTCTGAAAACGGTATGCACTTAGGTATAAAGCATGTAGATTGAGAGGTATTGTTCTGAAGATGTCAAGGAAAACTTAACTTCTAGTCTCCTGAGTTTGCACATTTGTAACCTTTTCTTTGGCTAACAAGCCATTTAATGCTAACTGAGCTGGGAGAGATTCTCTACCCTAAGCAGTATCCTCTAACAGAAGTTAGCTCCTCTCCGAGATCTCCAGACCCAACCAGTGTGTGACTGGTAGACTGTGACTGGTTCTCAAGAGACATCTGATGACTAGGTCTGAATTCCTCCATAGCCCTTCCTCATGGCCCATGTTTCCCTCTGAGACATGATATGGATGTTTACCAACCATTAGGCATCAATTCCAGGACCAGTGTAGGGTAGGCGTAGTTGGTGCAGCCAACTTCAGTGCCGCACTGTTTCACACACTCAGAAGGCACAACGCAGGCCACCTTATCTGGAAAGAGATACAGTTCATTGAGCAGGATGCAACTCAATACAATCAGCAAACGGGACAGAGGTAAGATGCAAGATCATAGATGAGAGAAGCTATAATCACCTAAAAATGGATGCTAAACTTTGAATTTGATACCATGGATCTAGTTACTCCTTGCTCAGCACAGAGCCTCCCACAGTGTCTCAAACTGGTAGCTCCCCTGGCACTGACCTGAGGGGGCAGGGATCCCTTTTGGACGTAGTTAGCATTAGGACAGACAAGGGAGACATCCCCATCCTCAGATAAGACTCAATTTTCTCAGAAGCAGTGAATTCCAAAACAACACCTCCTCCCCTCAGGAAGCTAAGTCCTACACCCAGTCATGCTTATCCAGTTCTAAGCATCTAAAGTGTTACTCACGAGGATCATCGGGGTGACAATTCAATTAGGTGATGGCATTTGTCACTTTGAGATGTGTACAATACCTTGATGAAATTTTAACTTGGAGCATATTATGATTGTTTAGAAAAAAATCTGATAAAGAACCACCTAAACCAAGAATACTTGAACACATTGACTTTTCAAAAATTATTTTTGTTCTTTCATAATTCTTGTTCACCAAGAAACAGTATTCGTTTATGCAGTATATCCATGTTCATGTTATATAAACATAGGTATGTGTATCTGTGTGTATGTGCGTGTGTGGAGGCCAGAGGTCAGTATTAACTATCTTTCTCTATAGCCCTCCTCCTTATCTTTTGATCAGCATCTCTCACTGAACTGAGTACTCACTATTTCAACTGAATTATCTGGGTAGCAAGACACAGGATCCTCTTGGCTCTACCTCCCAGGACTGGAGTTACACCATATACTTCCGTGCCTGGCTTTTTCCTGGGTGCTGGATGCCCATAATCGGATACTCATGCTTATACAGCAAGAGTTTTGAGGCAGAGTCTCTCCCTGAACTTGGAGCCTACAGTTTTGGCTAGGCTGGTGGCCAATGAGCTCTGGGGATCGACCTGCCCCTGCCATTTCAGCACTGGGGTTATAGACGCTTCACCTGGCTTTCATAGGGTTCTTGGGGTTCTGAACTCAGATCTTAATGATTTTGTGGCTGGCATTTTACAGACTGAGCTATCTCACCCTGAAGAAATGTCTTATTTAACCACTATTGAGATATTTTGGGTCTTTATTTCTACATTTAACATAATAATCTCAATATTTCTCAAAGCTTTGACACAGACTTCAAGATCTTGTGTATGGTGTTCTATAAGGCCGGGGGTGGGGTTACAGTCATTATTTAGCTATTCCTTGCCCCTTAGCTATGTCTACATTCTTCATTGTTATGAACAATACAACAATGATGCAAAGGATGAGATAATGGTCACTGAAGGTCATCTTGGAATTTAAATGAATGACACTGGCCTGCTTAGGAAAATACAGCAAATGCTGTGCAATTTGGTGATTCCACCAATAGAGAAATGTGTCTTCCACTCATCAAAACAAATTGGTTGCATTTCCTTTACTTTTCGTGGAAAAATAGAATAAAATTTCAAAGAAAAATATCAACAAGTATTTATTCTCATCTAACTTAGAAATTCCTTTTTACCAACAACATGATTGTAAACATTGACAAGGAATTTAATTTTGTGGTTGTCTCAGAGGAACCAAGAAGTGAGCATGCTCCTCTAAGACCTTCTTGGTCAAAGACATTGCTGCATCTAACCACAACAGCTCCGCTAACTTACCCTAGCTCAATCCCACTTCATCACCCAGTACATTTCTGGACTATCTTACATTAAATCCACTCATGGGTACAGGATGCACAGTGTAGTGGTTTGAATAAAAATGGCCCCCATAGGCTCACAGGGAGTGGTATTATTGGGAGGTGTGGCCTTGTTAGAGGAACTGTGTCACTGGGGGTGAGCATTGGGGTTTCGGAAGTCCAGGCCAAGCCCAGTGCCACTCTCTCTTCCTGCTGCCTGCCAATCTAGATGTAGTACTGTCAGCTGCTCCTTTAGCACCATGTCTGCCTGCATGCCACCATGCTTCTCACCATGTTGATAATGGACTAAATCTCTGGACCTATAAACCAGCTGCCATTAAATGTTTTCCTTTATAAGAGTTGCCATGGTTATAGTGTCTCTTCACAGCAACAGAACCCTAACTAAGACACACAGTTTCAAATGTCTATAAACAGACAGGCAAAATTTGGAAGTGATACAGAGAAGTGACAGATTTGCCAAATGTTCCACCTCTGACCCTTCTCTCAGAAGTGCCTTTTTCCATCACTCATTCTAACGTATCAAAGTTGTTCTTATCTTGAAAACCACGGGCACCAAGCATAGGAGAAGAGGATGCGTGCATCCATGGCTTGCCTGTGTACAGAATCCGGCTGATCATCCCTGGCATCACCATAAGGAACATGGGCAGCAGCTTCAGGTAGCCACAGAGGATGCAGGCAGCCTTCACATGAGACATGTCCTTGCCACACAAGCAGCGCTGTACAATGACCTGCCAGGAAAACACAACACACTAGTACAACAATTCAAAAATTATTTCAAGGAGAGTGAGAATATATTTTTCAAGTTTAACTTCATAATAAGAATTCATATTGTTGGCACTGGAGAGATGGTTCAGTGATGAAGAACCATCAGTTCAGTTCAGTTCAGTTCCCAGCAGCCATATGGTGGTTCACAACCACCTATGACTCCAGTTCCAGGGGAAATGGACACTCTCTTTTAACCTCCACAGACACCAAATATGCACATATTGCAATATATACATGCAGGCAAATCATCCATACCCTTGTAATTAAGATAAATAAATCTAAAGACATTTTTTAAAAATGTGTGGTTAGTGGAAATTAATGGATTTTGTAGAAGCCTCAAGATTTGAATTACTATCAAGTCTGCAGTATTTGACTTCTATGAGTCTTCTGTTTATCATCTCTACAGTAGAAATAGTTCTCATAGGATGTTGTAAACATTTCATACAATGTGCACATGACCCCTTGTAAATAGAAAATAATATACATTATCTATTATTAAAGCATGGTTATAGCACTCAGTTTGTAACACAACAAGGCAGCCCACTCCTCAGTGTACAGATCTGCCACTACTGATGCTGCCATAAGCTGTGTGTTCTTGTCTTGAACATTGTACCCATCATCATCTTCCTTGTTATTATCAGGTAACTTACTTCTAGGCAGTCAAGCCAGTTCCCATGGAAACACCGTAGTCAGGAAACCAAGAGAAAAATCACTTTGAAACATTTATTCCTTGATTTCTTTAGACTATTCTGAAAACTCACCTAGTTATGAATTGAAAGTGATAGAATTGATGGGGGTGGGTGTTCTTATAATATCATAATTTCTACTTCTGTGGTTTTTCACTAATTATTTCCTAGAAAAAAGAGTAGAATTTCTAATGATATCATAAACCCATGACATTTTTCTTTTCAAGGACCCTCAGAAGCTATAGTTGCCTTTTTTTCTTAATTCTTTTTTAAGGGAAAACAGTTCAATAGGAATACAAGCAGGAACATTCAGTATCGCAAAGTATATTATTTTTAGAGGACCATTAAAACACATAGAGGATAAACACAAGTCAAGGATAAGGAGGGAACCCAGTCTACAGATTACCATGGTCAGGTATCACATCTAAGTGGAAATGCAGGACCATTTAAGGTAAGGAATTCAGAAATTAAATACATTAAGTATATGTAGAATAGAGATGATCTTGTAAATCCGAGGTGAAATGGTGCATTGCTTGTAAGATCTGTTGAGAAAAATCACTTATTTCATAGGAAAAACACAGCCATTGATTCATGACATGCTAAAACAGATGTCAGTCCTACTCAAGTTCACCAAAGACTTTCAGGAAGAAGAGACACAAAGGCAAAACCAAACCAAGATGATATAAAAGGAAATATATGGGTCAGGAGGAGGAGGAGCTGGACAAACTTGGGGAAAGAGAAAAATATAATCAAAATATATTTGAAATTTCTTCCTTCAGAGACTTAAAGTTCTTGTCATACAGGTCCTTCACTTGCTTAGCTAGGTTACCCCAAGGTTATTTGTGGCTATTGTAAAGGGTGATGTTTCTCTGATTTCTTTCTCAGCCCTTTTATCACTTGTATATAGGAGGGCTACTGATTTTGGGGGGGGGGGTTAATCTTGTATCCTGCCACATTACAGAAGGAGTTTATCAGCTATAGGAGTTCCCTGGTAGAATTTTTTGGGGTCAGTTATATACACTATCATATCGTCTGCAAATAGTGAAAGTTTAACTTCTTCCTTTCCAATTTCTATCACTTTGATCTCCTTTTGTTATCTTTTTGCTGTGGCTAGAACTTCAAGTACTATATTGAATAAATGTGGGGAGAGTGACTAGCCTTTTCTTGTTCCTGATTTTAGTGGAATCACTTTGAGTTTCTCTCCATTTAATTTGATGTTGGCTGGCAGCTTGCTGTAAATTGCCTTTATTATATTTAGGTATGTTCCTTGTATTCCTGATCTCTCTAGGACCTTTATCATGAAGGGGTGTTGGATTTTTGTCAAAGGCTTTTTCAGCATCTAATGAGATGATCAGGTGGTTTTTTTTTCTTTCAGTTTGTTTATATGGTTACATTGACAGATTTTTGTATGTTGAACCATCCTCGCATCCCTAGGATGAAGTCTGCTTGATCATGGTAGATAATTTTTTGATGTGTTCTTGGATTCGCTTTACCAATATTTTATTGAGTATTTTTGCATCAAAATTTAAAATTGTTTTAAATAATAAAAATAGTAAAAAAACAAACAAACAAAAGACATCATAACCTGTTGTAAAGCTTCACAGCTTATACTCACAACACTGAGCCTGACTCTGAATTCACTTCAGCTCATGAGCTTTATATAGTATAACCCAATTATTCCTTGGTTTTTCACATGCTGAGGCTATACACAGTGATTTCAACTAAATAGTGCCCCTCTTGGGGTATATACCATAAATTCAAAATCTTGCTGAATATATATATATTCCAGGAAGCAACAGAACCAAGAAAGATCCTTAAAGCATTAAAGACAAAGTCAAGAGAACTGGAGGAAAATGTTTCCTAAAAATAGATCAGAGGCTAAGAGATAGAAAAATGGAAAAAATATAAGGCCAGCAGAGATAGGATAACAAGCCATGTCCATAAACTGCTTTTTCCACCCCCTGCCACTGATCTTTGTAAGCATCTTTTTTAATTCTATGTTAGATATATCACTTATCTCCATTTCATTATGGACCATTTACAGATATTTTACTTACTATTAGTTGGAAAATCTTTTCTATTTTCTACATTTTTTTCAATCCCTCTGTGGGTTTCTGTGTATTAAATAAAAGAGCCAGCTCTCCAAATTTAAGTTGACTGTTCTTGTGTGAGATCTGTTTCTCTCATCATCCAAGAGACATTCAGGTACCCTGAACTCTTTGTAACACCCACTGTTTTGTTCTTAGTATATTAGTTGTGTATTCCACCAAACTAGAAAATCTGAAAGAAATGGATAATCTTCTAGATATGTACACACTACCAAAATTAAGCCAACATGAAATAAAATTTTTAAATAGACTCAAACACCCAGTGAAATAAAAGCAATAGGCAAAAATAACCCAACTAAAAAAGGTGAGGGCTAAATGGATTCAGTAAAGAATTCCACCAGGCTTCAAAAAAAGAACTATTACCATAATTCCTCAAAATAGTCCACAAACTAGAAAAGGAAAGTGTATTTAAAGTATTGCATTGATACCAAAACCAGACAAGGAATCAAAAACTACAACAGAAAAGACAATTATAGGCCATTATCTCTAAAGAACACAGATGCAAAAATTCTTAATAAGATACTTTCAAATCAAATTTAAGGACACATCAAAAACATTATTCATCATGATAAAATCATATTCATCCCAGAGATGCAAGGATGATTCAATATACGTAAATCAATACCTATAATCCACCAAATAAATAGACTAAAGGACAGAAACCACATGATCTCATCAGAATCAGAAAATGTCTTTGGACAAAATCTAACACCTCTTCATGGTAAAAGTCCAGGAAAGAGCTGGAGAGAGATGACTCTGTGGTTAAAAATATTGGTTTCTCTTTCACGGGATCTAGTTTTGAGTTACAGGACCCACACAGTGGATAGCAACCACCTGTAACTCCTGTTCCGGGGGGTATGACGTCCTCTACTGGCTTCTGCAAGCACAAGGCACACATGTTGTACAGATATACATGCAGGCAAACAACCATACACATAAAAATAAATAATAAATACTTTTTTAAATGTCCTGAAGAGAATAGGGACATAGGGGACATATCTTTTTTTTTTCACTTTGTTTTTGAGATTATAATATAATTATATTTCTCTTTTCTCTTTCTTCCCTTCAAATTCTCCTATATATCGCCCCCTGAGCTCTTTCAAATTTATGGTCTTTTCTTTCATTAATTGTTATTGCATGCTATATATATGCACATACAACCATCTATAATGAGGTCTGATGCCCTCTTCTGGCATGCAAGCATACATGCAGGCAGAACACTGCATATGTAATAAATAAATAAATCTTTTAAAAGAAAATCAGGATGAAAAAAAGGATGTCAACTCTTACAAGCCCTGTTCAACATAGTACCTCAAGTGTCAGCTAGAACAATAAGACAGGTGAAGGTGATAAAGAGAATATAAGTAGGTAAGGAAGAAGTCAAAGAATCTCAATTTGCAGATAATTTTATATATATATATATGACAAAACTAATAGGTGATAAATACATTCAGCAAAATAGCAGGATACAAAATTAATAACAAAAAATCAGTAACCTTCCTATATACAAATGATAAATATACCAAGAAGAAAATCAATGAAATAATATCATTCAAAATTGTTTCAAAAAATCTTGGAATAAATCTAATAAGGAAGTAAAAGGCTTGTACAATGAAAATGTTAAGACATTAAAAAAATAAAATTGAAAATGATATCACATGATGGAAAAACATCCTGTGCTCATGGATTAGTAAGATTAATATTGTGAAAATGTCCATCTTACCAAAAGCCAATGAAATCCCTATTCAAATTACAATATAATTCTTCATAGAAATTGGAAAAAATCTTAAACTTAATATGAAAATAGAACAAAAATAATACTGAAAAAAGTACTGCTGAAAGTTTTTATTTTGTTTTAATTTCAAGTTATACTCTAGAGCTATGGTAATGAAAATAGCATGGTATTGACATAAAAACAAGTTTATTGACCAATGGAATAGAATTGAGGGCCCACACATAGACCCATACTCACACATCATTTTTATTTTCTACAAGGAAACCAACAATACATATTGGAGGAAGACAGCATCTTTAACAAATGGTGCTGGTCAAAGTGGATAGTTACTTGTAGAAGAATAAAACTAGGTTTTTATCTCTCACCCTGCACAAAACTCAACATCAAATGGATCAGGGACTTCAATGTGAGACCTGCTATCCTGAACCCAATAGAGGAGGAAGTAGAGACTATGCTTGAACTTATTACCACATAAAAGACTTTCTGACCAGGATCTTGATGGTGCAGGCATTGAGACCCATATTTAATTAATGAGACCTCATAAAATTAAAAAGTTTCTGTATAGTGAAGGACACCATAGCTAGAGTCAATGTATAAGATTGAAAAAAAATCTCTACCAGATATACATCTAACAGAGGGTTAGTATCTAGACTGTATAAAGAATTCAAAATATTAAACAAGAAAAGAAACAACCCAATTAAGAAGGGAGCATAGAATTAAACATGGAGTTACCAGAAGATTAAATAAAAATAGCTGAGGAACATTTTCTAAAAATGTTTGACATCTTTAATCACCAGGGAAATCAAAACTACTTTAATATTTCATCTTACCCCAATCAGAATTGCTAAGATTAACAATAAAATCAGAACAAATACTGGGGAGTATGTGGAGAAAGAGGAACATTTATTCACTGCTAGTGAGAATGCAAATGGAGACAACTGCTATGAAAATCAATGTGGAGGCCCCTCAAAAAGCTAAAAATAGATTGATCATATAATCCAGCTATACCACTCTTGGGTTTTTGACCAAAGGACTTAATATCCTACTCTAGAGATACTTGCTTCTCCACATGAATCCCTTTTAGTTGATGAATAGATAATAAAAAATATGGCATATTTATACAATTGAATAGTATTCAACTATTAAAAATGAAATTGGCAGGTAAATGAATGGAGCTGGAAACAATCATTCTGAATGAGGTAGCCCAGACCCAGAAAGACAAATGTCACAAATTTTCTCCCACCTATGTATATTAGCTTTGAATCTTAAGATATTTGTGTTTCATGTGGAATATCTATAGAGATCAGGGAGTTACTAAAAGGCTATGGGATTTCATGGGGAATAGAATACACTGTTATAAAGGATAAAGGAAGGAATAATGGAATAGGAATGGTTAAACTAGGAAAGTAGAAGAGAGACTATGGGAAGGGGTAAATAACACTAAAGATCTTTTGAAAAGACTTATGGAAACACACTACTATAAAAAGTTTCCTTACACACAGACACACACACACACAGACACACACACACACACAGACACACACACACACACACACACACAAAGTTAAAATGGAGTCACCCTATAACAGGACAGGAATGTCACTACTAGATACCAGAGGCTAACAAACAAAAAATAGCCCAGTGATAGGGATGGGCTACTTCTCTAGAAAGTGTTGGATAATGAGGTCCCATAGACAGCTCCCTCAAAATTACAGGCTATTGCCATAGCTCTTGGTGACCCTTGAGAACTTGACGATAAGACCCCATTGCTAAAGACATCACATAGTTGAGTAATGAAAATCAAGCTGATGCAGTCCTGGAAACTTCATCCTTACTAGCTAGCTTTCATAGGGCAGGAAGATGCTAAACAAGAAAAGTCATCATCTGTCACACTCAGCTGTGAACCCTGGCCTGGCCTAGCAAGACATGTCCATTAATTGGTGAAGTATAAACATGAACATCATGGAAATAAACAACTTTATATTTGAATTTAGGTCCCACTCCACAACATGAGGCTCATAATTGGATGGTTATCATCCCAAGAACCTACAGCTAGATAAAATATTGGTCCTACAAGAGAAACTAATACTATTATGCTGCTAAATGGACTTATTACTAAACTCACTGCTAATGGCTTGTCCTTATACTCATAACTCAACTCTCATCTGAGAATCTTACATTTTCAGTAGATGATGATTAACATAGAAAACCCCTACTTGGCCAAATGAAAAGGTGCAGATTGATCAGCTTTAAAAAGGAACACATATACTACCCCTAACTCCCTCCAAGGCTCAAGGATCAGTGTAGAAGAGGAAGCAGAAAGTGTAAGAACAAGAGGAAGTGAATGACTGCAAAGAAACATCTGAACACACAGGACAGCGGTACATAGAAACTCAGTGATTGTGATACCGTGCACAAAACTGTGCAAACCCAAGCCAGACCAAATCCCAGCATAGAGAGGGGGCATACAATCTCACCCCTAACCATGGAGCAAATGACAATTGTTAGCTGTTGGGAGAGGAAGAGACTGTTTCCTCTGTGAGTTTAGCCCATGATAAGTTGGCAATACTCCAGTGGAAGACCACACATCCAACAATATTTGAATAGATGATAGATAGATGATAGATAGATAGATAGATAGATAGATAGATAGATAGATAGATAGATAGATAGATAGATAGGAACTGAAGAAGGAAAGTTGAATTCTCAACCAACAGAAAAATTCTAAAAGTAAAAATCTCTCTAAAGAGATATATAAGCATTTGAATCACTTCTACTTTCTGAAAAGTTAATGATAAAATTCTGATTTCATGTGTCACTGTACTCTTGGAGGATATCTATTTCTTCAGAAATAACAATGATTCTGACGTGTCACAGAATATACTAAATACAATAATTTAGGGAATACTGAAACATTTAAGTAAAGAGCTGAATGCATTTCTCTCTGTGTAGATGAGTGAGGCAAGTGTAGTAAGGAGGGACCAAAACATCTAGGTTCTACAAGATGAGACATATAAAAGTGTTGGACACTGAATACTGTTTATGTGTTCAAAATAAAAGCTAGATGCTTTTACAGGAGACAAGAAAAATACACATAAACTGTGGTGGTATTGTGTTCCCTGAAATATTGTGCACCCTAATAAACTTATCTGGGGTCAGAGACAGAACAGCCACAATATTAAACATAGAGGATAGGCAGTGGTAGTACACACCTTTAATCCCAGCACTTAGGAGGCACAGCTAGGCAAAAATCCACGTGTTCAAGGATACAGCCAAGCATGGTGACTCACGCCCTTAATCCCAGAAAGCGAGCCTTTAATCCCAGGGAGTGATGATAGAAAGCAGAAAGATATATAAGGCGTGAGGACCAGGAACTAGAAGCATTTGGCTGGTTAAGCATTTGACTGGTTAAGCATTTGACTGGTTAAGCTTTCAGGCTTCTAGCAGCAGTTCATCTGAGAGCTATTTGGATATGAGGACACAGAGACTTCCAGTCTGAGGAAACAAGATCAGCTGAGAAGTTGTCCAGGTGAGGTTAGCTGTGGATTGTTCTGTCTCTCTGATCTTCCAGTGTTCACCCCAATAACTGGCCTCAGGTTTGATTTTATTAATAAGAACTTTTAAGATTCATGCTACAATAAACACAGTTATACATGCAAATATACATGCTCACCTGGTCTGCACACCAGTACCAGATAGCTAAAATGGTCATTCCAAATATCAGTCCTGGCCATGGAATGTCTCCAGTGATGGGATCTCGGAAGATGTGGAAGGAGTCTGGCTGAGGAGTGTAGCACTTGGGGCTGATTGTCAGGTTGTCCCCCTCAACTACAGAGGGGATGGCATTCATGTATTTCTCTGTAAAGCTCTCATAGCCTCCGACTTCAGCAAATGCTAAAAAGGCATCAGATAAAATGTGTGAGAATTTCAAACACCTCATGTTCATTGCAGAGAAGTACTTGAGTACTACTCATTACTATGGTCATGTCTTCAGTACTTTTCCCAATGATCCATGCATGCCTTTATGGTTTCTCCACTGGGATTGTCCAAGGTAAAATATTGACTTTCACAGAGTACTCAACACAAATAATTCTTTAATATTGTTTCTTTTTACTTAATGAAATCATTTTATTATGATGAATTCACAAGTAAAAATAAATTAGACAACTCAATTAAGATAGCATTAATAGCATTTGCCCTTAAATAGGCAATTTGCCCAGTACCAAACTCTGTATAGCTCAGTGAACTTTCAATATAGTTATAATAGCCATTCTGAAGTGATAGTGCTTTGTTTATTGTTTTACACTTCCACTATCAATTATGTATTTATTCATTTATCAACCATGCTCCAATGTGCACATGCACACACAATGTGCACATGCACACACAAATCTATGACCTTTGAACCTAGAAGATAATAAGTTTTATATCCTCTTTCATGACTCATGTGTTCTTTGGTCTGCAGTCTGTCTTTCCTGATGAACATTTCTTAGTCACCTTATCCTATACCCACACATATACCTGTTTACATATATACAAGAATACTTTCTAGGCTAGGATCTTCCTATCAGACAGAACACACATTTTTTAAGTTTATTTCTTCTCTCATATATTACATCCCAAACACAATTTCCTATTCCTCCTCTCTTCCCAGTCCCTCCCCCTGCCGCCACCACCCCCATGTCCCTCAGATTCACTCCTCCTCCATTTTCTTTCAGAAAAGGGCAGGCATTCCAGGGATATCAACCAAATATGGCATATCAACTTATAATAAAACTAGGTACATCCCCTCATATTAAGGGTGGACAAGGCAACCCAGCAGGAGGAAAAGAGTCTCATAAGCAGGCAAAAGAGTCAGAGACAGCCCCCATTCTCACTGTTAGGAGTCCCACAGGAACACCAAGCTACACAACCATAACATAAATGCAGAGGACCTAGCTCAGACCCATACAGGATCCCTGATTATCAGTGCAGTTTCTGTGTGCACCATGGGCCCTGATTCTGTTAGACAAAGAACATAAATTTTTGTTTACTCATTTTCCTTTGTAAGTTTAGAATACTTTTCTACCTTTCTCTCTCTCTCTCTCTCTCTCTCTCTCTCTCTCTCTCTCTCTCTCACTTACTTTTCCTTCTTTATTAATTATTTGTTTGCTTATCCTTCTTTCATATATTATATCCGGACTGCAGTTTCCCCTCCCTCCACTCCTCCCAGTTCCTCCCCACCTCCTCCCCTCTCTCCCAGATCCACTCCTCTTCATTTCCCTTTAAAAAAAAAAAGCAGGCCCTCTAGGGAGATCAACCAAACATATTACATAACAAATTACAATAAGACTAGGCACATACCCTCATAACAAGGCTGGATGAGGCAACCCAGTAGGAGGAAAAGGGTCCCAAGAGCAGGCAAAAGAATAAGACACTTTTCTTAATAATATGCATTTTAAGTCCATCCACTTTTCCTGAAAATTTCATAGTGAACTACAAGAAATTCCAGTTTCTTCTAAAAGCAACAGGAAGAAAGAAATAGCTGTATATTAGTCAGGGTTCTCTAGAGGAACAGAACTGATTGTGTGTGTGTGTGTGTGTGTGTGTGTGTGTGTGTGTGTGTGTGTGTTGTTAAAGAGGGATTTATTAGTGTGGTTTACAGGTTGTGGTGCAAGAAGTGGGTTCTAACACCAGTGAAGGATGCCTAAGTAGCATGACAGATGAACTTGCCAGTGAGAATGAGACCAAGAAGCCAAAGAGAAAAAGCTTCCTTCTTCTATGTCCTCTTCTGTGGGCTGCCACCAGAAGGGGTGGCCCAGACTTAGGGTAGTCCTTCTCACCTCAAATGATTCAATAAAGAAAAAAATCCTTCATAGGAGTTTCCAAATGCTTGGGTTTTAGTTGATTCCAGATGTAGTTGACAACCAAGATTAGCCATCACAAGTCTAGTTGACACACAATCACATCTCTTTATGTCATGCTTAATTTCCAAATGAAAACAATAACCAGGTCATAATTCCACCTAACATGATATAAATATCCCACATACAACCACAAACACAATATATATTTCAGAACAGGTGGTAATATCCCTTGAGGAATGTTTAGTCTTTCAGTGTCTCATAACTTAAATGTGATAGTACCACTGATTTTTATATCAATCAATGCTATATTACACAATGAGAAAATAGAGTAAAGAAAACACAAACATTGCTTAATATATGTGTATATATGCAGGAACACAATTTTAAACAAAAGGGGACAGAAACACTCATGCCAACTATAATCGACAGTCCTGCAGTTGGTCACATGGCCTTAGCTGGTGTTTATAACTACTTTCTTCTTATACTCTTCTGACTTCCTTCAATCTCCATCTCAGTAGGTCCTGTTTCTTTTCCTAGAGAAGTGACCCATGCCTTCATTCATGAAGTGTCTGGGCCCTTTGCCATCCTGCCTGGATTTGGGTTGTTATAGTTTCCAATTGACTTTAAACACGGGACATGGTAAAACGAGGAGTCTTCCTAAAATATTTCCTGCACTCCAGATATAATCTTCCTTATCTTCATCGTGGAGATACAATCCAGTTTCCCCTGGTAGTCTGCATCAATCACCTCTTTTAACACTGTTATTCCTTTCTTAACCTGTTGGTTTGTGGGCAACAGAAACCCAAAGATCAGGGAGAAGTCTGAGCTTCCAGGTCAATGGGATATTTTTTGTCTCCAGGTAGTAATGCTCCCTCTCTGGAACCAAAACTTCTAGGCCATTTTTATAGTGGGTCACCAAGGGTGGTAATAACCATTCTCACTTCTACCTCTTGATTCCTGGACCAGTGAGTTGGAGGCTGATTCAAAACATATACTGCCTCCTAGAGAACCCTGCTGCAGCCCTCCAGTCTATTGCCACTTAGCTAACACTATGGTATGTCTTCAAAAGGCCATTCCACCTTTCTATCAAGCTAGCTGCTTCAAGTCATTGGGGAACACCGTCAAACTAGAGGATTCCATGAGTATGGAACCATTGTTACATTCTTCTTGGTCAGAAGCAATGCAGCATGGAATACCATGAAGGTGGATATAGCATTTTGTAAGTCCACAGATGGTAGCTTTGGCAGAAACATTACATGTGGGAAAGGCAAATCCATAACCAGAATAAATATCTATTCCAGTAAGGACAAACTGTCTCCACCCTTTCTACAAAGGAAGTGGTCCAATATAGTCAATCTGCCACCAGGTCACTGGTTGGTCACCCAGGGAAGGGTACCATATTGGGGTCTCAGTGTTGGTCTCTGCTGTTGGCAGACCTGGAACTCAGCAGCAACAATATCAAGGTCAGCCTTGATGAGTGGCAGTCCATGCTGTTGAGTCCATGCATAACCTCTATCTCTGCCACCATTTGGGCAATGACAAAGATGGCTGGAGAAAGTGGCTGACTCTCCACAGAATGTGTCATGCTAACTACTTCATTATTGCTAACGTCCCCTTTTGGTGAACATTTGTATGAGATGTGAGTATTTTCACATCCTTTGCCCATTTGGAGACATCTATCCATGTATTTCTTCCTCAGATATCTTTCTCATCATTTATCCAATCATGTTCTTCCTACATACCTGACCATCCAGCCAATTCATTGGTTACAGCCCATGAGCCAGTAAGCAATCACACATCTGGCTGTCTCTCCTTCCAAGCAAAATGTATGACCATGTGTACTGCCCAAAGTTCTGCCTACTATGAAGATTTCCCTTCACAGGCATCATTCAGGATTGTCCAAGAAAAGGGCTGTAATACTACAGCTGATCACTTCAGGTGGTGCCTGTACAATGTACATAACCATCAGTAAACCATGTCTTAGTCTTCTCTTCCTCAGTCAACCCACCATACACCATGAGGCTATAGTTGCATACTTGGGAGCAGAAGGTATTGTAACAGGAGTAGAAACCATAGGCATGTGGGTAACTTCTTCATGTAACTTGCTTGTGCCTTCAGGACCTGCTGGGCCTGATCACATATATGCCACTTCCATTTGATAATGGATTGGTATTGTGCACATCCTACTGTATAGCTTTATGGGTCAGACAGCACCCAGCTCATAATGGGCAGCTCAGGTAATATGGTAACTTGATGGCTCATTGTCAAATGTTCAGTTTCCACTAAGACCCAATAGCAGGCCAAGAGCTGTCTCTCCAAGGGAGAATAGTTGTCTGCAGATGATGGTGAAGCCTTACTCCAAAATTCCAAGGGTCTCTTCAGTGATTCACCTATAAGAGCCTGCCAAAGCCTTCAGATAGCATCCCTATCTGCCACTGATACCTCAAGTGCTATCAAGTCCTCTGGATCACATAGTCCAAATGGTAGAGCAGTCTTTACAAGAGCCGGGAGCTGTTGAAAAGCCTTCCCCTGTTCCAAGCCCCACTCAAAGCTAACAGCTTTCTGAGTCACTTGGTATATAGACTAGAGTAACACATCTAAGAGGAGAAAGTGCTGTCTGCAGAATCCAAATAGGCCCGCTAAACATTGTTCTTCTTTCTTGGTGGTGGGAGGGGCCAAGTGTAGTAACTTACCTTCCACCTTAGAAGGAATATGCATGCTCTACACTACTGAACTCCTGAGAATTTCGCTGAGGTAGAAGACCCTTGAATTTTGGCTGGATTTATTTCATATTCACATATATATATGTCACCATCAAGTTCAAAGTGGTTGCTACCTCCTGCTCAATGGTCCAATCAGCCTGTCATAATGTGGTAGATCAGTGTGACATTTTGTGAGAGTGACAGACAATCAATATCCCTTTGAGCAAAGTTATGACACATGGCTGGAGAGTTCATATAGCCTTGAGAGAAAACTGTAAATGTATACTGTTGGCTTTACCAAGTGAAAACAAATTGTTTCTGGTGGTCCTTATGGTCAGATACTGAGAAAAAGGCAAATCAAAAGAGGGGGGGAAATCTACACTCAAAAATAGACAGATCATCCAGTCAAAGACTAAACAGAAATTTCAGAGCTGACTGACACTATAAACCAAATGGACTTAAAAAATATTTATAGAACATGTCCCCTAAATACAAAAACCTTCTCCTCAGCACCTCATGGATCTTTCTCCAAAATTAACCACATACTCAGCTACAAAGCAAGTCTCAACAGATATAAGAAAATCCATATGACATCCCACACCCTATCTGACTACCACAGATTAAAGCTGAGAGATAGCTTCCTAGCATGGCAGCACAAGCCTTTGTAATCCCAGCAGTGGGGAGGCAGAGGTGGGTGGATCACTGAATCTGAGGCCAGCCAGGGTTACATCATGAGAACTTGGGGTTTTTGTTTTATTTGGTTTGGTTTTGTTTGGTTTGGTTTGTTTTAAGACAGGGTTTCTCTGTATAACCCTTGTCCTAGAACCCACTCTGTAGACCAGGCTGGCCTCCAACTCACAGAAATCCATCTGACTCTGCCTCCTGAGTGCTGGAATTAAAGACGTGTACCACCACTACCCAGTCTTTAAAATGAATAAATGGAAGATCAGAGAAGCTAATGAAGCTCTCCAGGCTCAGAAAGTTAGTAAGTTGCAAGTTTCGCAAGGCATTTGCCCAAGGTGCTAGAAGCCCTAAACAACTGCCAGGAAGAGGGCCGTCTCCAGCCAGCCACCTGCGGGTTCTGCAGGAGCTCCGAGGAGGCAGCTGCCTCTCAGGTCAACTGGGCTCTTCTAGTGACCTTTTACCCAAACTCCTGTAAAATCTCGGTAAACTTACTGGTTTAGTAAGCTAGAAAGGAAATAAAGCTGAAGGTTAAGGCTGGGGAGGGAGGGACAGGGGAATCTGTGGTTGGTATGTAAAATGAATAGAAAATCTCTTAATTAAAAAAAGGAAAAAAGGTATAGAGTAAGGGACTAGGGGAGGGATGGGTCTCCCTAGGAAGGGGAAATAGAATATATAGTAATGAATGGATGAGATAAGGGGACTAGAAAAGGAGGATCAAACAGGGAGGAGAAGGTAAGAGGGGTAAGGGAGGGAATATGAGGAAGGACAGGTAAAACTATGGATCATTTGAAGGGTCATATGGAAACCTAATACAGTAGAAGCTTCCTAAAATACACACATATGCGAAGGCAATCTAAATGGGCCAAATGATGGAGGAGACACAGTCCCTAACAGACATCTCTCATCACCAAATGAAGCTTCCAGTGCCAAGAATGGGTTATATCTAATCAAGCTCTTGGCCAAAGGGGTACCATGGAACCCCCAAACCACCCAGTCTGTTGCCAAAGCTATTGGTTGCTCTCCACAAACTGACTTAGGTAAGACCCCATTGCTGAAGACAACACCTATACAATTCATTGAACATGGAGAAGTTGAGCTGGTGCCTATCTAGAGCCTTCACCCCTGTGGACTAATGTTCATGGTACTGGAAGGGTACTGTTCACACTACCAAAGGTTATGCTAAATACCAACCCAGCTACAAACTCTTCGAATTACAGTGGTGTCCTGCATGCAAAATACACTAGTGTAGTAGTTGCCGAAAGCTTGTAGGAGTAAATAACAAATGTTTGATTGGACTTAGGACCTGCTGTATGAGTTATAACACATACCTAACACTGGCTGGATGGCCAAGAACCTGAGACTAGATAGACCAAGAACCTATGGTAAAACCAAACACTGCTGTTCTACTAAAGGAATGTAGCAATAGAATGATTCCTAATGACATTCTCCTATACTTGTAGATCAATGCCTTGATCAACCATCGTCAGAGAAGTTTCCTCCTGCAGCAGATGGGAAAAAACATTCACACTCAGACAATGTGCAGAGAGTGAGAGACTTAGGAACAGCCCTAAATGGAATGCCTCCATCAAATCCCTCCCCTCAGGATATGGAGAACTCCGCAGGAAAGGAGGCAGAAAGAGTGTGAGAGCCACAGAGGATGGAAGACTCCAAGGAATCAAGTCTTCTGAACCCAGCATGCCCAATGCACATATAAACTCACATATAAACTCATGCACAGGGTCTGCACTATTTGGGGTCCCAGAGCTGAAGGGAAAAGTAGACACAAGCCCCCATCCTTCACCCAGAAGCTATCTCCAGTTTATAACCACTTGAAATGAGAAATTAGTTTTCTCCAAGGGCATCTCACTGGGGAAACAAACCACTCTTAAGGGTAGGTGCCATGTCCAGCAGTAGGTGACCAACCCATAACAAATTCAACGGCATCTTTTGAGACTCTTCATCTCATGATGTTTTAGGGCTTTTTTTTTTTCTTCCTATCTTACAGGTCCATATGTGGTGTGTGTGTGTGTGTGTGTGTGTGTGTGTGTGTGTGTGTGTGTGTGTGTGTGTGTATGTGTGTGTGTGTGTGTGTGTAATGGCTTCCGGTTTGGGGTTTTTATGGGATTCCTGTGTGTGTGAACATGTGTCTCTATATCTATATGTATTTCTTTTGCTCATTTTCTTCTGTTGGTTTTTTTCTATTCTTATTTGCTTGCTTTTTATTTTATGTTATTAGTATTCTTTAGATTCCTTTTTGTTTTCTAACAAGAGACAGCAAGGGGATGGATCTGGGTGGGAGTGGTAGGGGGGGCAACTGAGAAGGGAAGGGCAATGGAACTGTAATCAGAATATACTGTATGAAAAGTCTAATTTCAATAAAAGAGAAAAAGGAAGGATGGATGCCAGGAGTTGCATATCAATTCTAGTGACGTTTAGGGACTTCATAAACAATTTTGAGGCAACATTGTGACCTTGTTTCATTTCTGGCACTCTTATCCTCCCTGCCTCCCACCCAGAAAAAGAGCCAAAGCAGGGATTTGGCCCATATTGCATGTTATAGTCCTTTATCTTAAGGAAGGAAAAGGGGCCAGGATCTTCAGACAGTTGGCTACCGCACATCCGCAGACAGGAGCAGAGAGAAACTAATGCACCCCAGAGACTCATGCTCAGACAGTTTCCTTCTTTATTACTCAGTTCAGGGAACACCCATGAAAATGCACCCACACCCAGGGTGGGTTTTTACATCTCAACTAACACTCAAACAACCCGTGTAGATATGTCCACAGGCCTACCTGATCTAGATAGTTCATTAACTGAGGTGCTCTTCTTGCTGATTCTAAATTTTAGCAAGTTGACATTTAAAACGTATGTACATACAGGTAACAGTATACAGACTGAGCAGGTTATATTTAGGAATATGTAAGTATATGGGGAAAAAAGAAGTCATGAATTTGAGAAAAAAACAAAGAGGGTAAGAGGAAGGTTTGGAAGGATGAAAGGGAAAAAAGAAATGTTGTAACTGTATTATAATCTAAAAAAAAATCCATCTATCAAAAAATAAAAAAGTCAAAGTTCTGTGCATTGTCCTAATACTGGGAACCTATAGTAAAGAGCTGGTGCTCACACAGTGATGGGTGCCCTGGAGAGCTGGTCTTGCTATAGGGGAAAGGCTTCCCCAAAGAGAATTCAACATGATGGGTATGATGGTTTGACAGTTAGGAACTTGACAAAATCTAGAATTGCCTAGGAGACATGTTTCTGGGCATGGATACAATGACAGAAAATCTTTGCAAGGTATTTTGCCAACAGAGAATTAGCATCTTGGATATTTTAAAAGCATAAAACCTCCCTGAACTTGAGAGGTTGAGGAATGTGACAATTGTGATCTTGAGGCCAGCCTAGTGAGTCTCAAGCACCTCAATCCATGTAGTTAGACCATACTTAAAAATAAAATAAAATAAACTCAAAAACTTCAGCATCAGAAGAAAAATTCAGCTTAGTGGTATAAATGGGCAATGGGAGTGATCAGTTTTCAAACGAAGGATAATTGACCATTAAAAATATGACAAAATGGCTCAACATCTTGAGCCATCAGTTAAATCCAAACCAAACTACATTAGGATTCCCTCTCAATTCTGGCAAGGTTTTAGGACAAGTTATAATTTTTACTATTGATGTGAATGCAAATTAGTCCAACTACTATAGAAGTGAGTAAGGATGTTCTCCCCAAAGTTAAAAACAGAACTACCACCTGATACAGCTTCAGATACATGCCTTAAAAAAAAACAAAGTTAATAAACACCTGTAAACCCCTTTATCATGGCACCATTCACAGTTTTATTTAGTCAGCCTAGGTGCCTGTTGTGGAACTCTGTTCTCTGGCATGCCAGGACCATTCCCATCTCGAAACCAAGAGCAGCTGTGAGTACATATATGCTATACTAACAAGGTAGATCCCACTAGTGCTCTCTGGTGGAGAGCAAGGGGGGTTCACAAGGCAGCACACTACACGCAGAAGGCTCCTCCCATCCCTGAGAAAATAAGCAGGTGGTGGTTGCTGGATGAAGGGATACATTTTCCTTCAGTGGTGTAGCTACTAGTAATTTGCTCTTGTTACTGTAGGTATCACCTGGCCTATATCCTATACCCATCACCTGTATCCCATCAGCATCCTACAGGTAACCCAGCTAAACTCATTGGTCCATTAAGTTAGACTTGGATGAAAACATTTTGTAGATGTATCCCATCAGCTCCTACAGGTAACCCAGCTAAACTCATTGGTCCATTAAGTTAGAATTGGATGAAAACATTTTGTAGGTTGTTACTTAGTGCCCTATCTGGGGGGAATAAATATTTGTTCACATCTACCTAGGAAAAGTTCATATGACAGTGATGATCAACAGATAAATGGGCCTAGCACTACTGGGACTGAAGAGATTTTCTTTGTCTACCCACGTTTTCTATCCACTAGAAGCTGAAGGACACAGCTAGCTGACTCTTAACATTCCCATCAAGGGAACTATGGGATATGAAAATATGACCCAGTAAAACTGGGAGATAATACTACAGAGCAGACAGACAGAAACCTCTTCCATAATTTCCCAGCCCAGGTACAGCACACTGTACTTACCAAACCCCATGAGAATTAAAGAACCAACCAGCATGATAAAAGCCTGGATAGTATCTGTGTAGATCACTGAGGCCAAGCCCCCTGTGGAGAGAAAATAATAAATCAGAACATTTTTATCCATGCATTCTGATTTCTCTGTTTTCACCTCTGGGCTGTACTCTATCTCAAACACAGAATTGAGTCAACAAACAACATATCATAGCTCCTGTGTGAGCCACAAACTTGTCTTGACTTCAGGTTCTCCTAAGTGCTTATTTATGTATTTAGTTCATCTTTCTCTTGTCTTAATGAGATTCAAAGTTCTGTGAATTATGGTAGAGTTCCATCTTGCTGATTTTTTGAATATTGCATAAGGAAAAGTGAAGATTTTATACCCTGAAAGTTTATCACAATTATCTATTTAATTACCCCCATTTAGGTTGGTATATCCTGTCTCAAATGTAGCAAACCTTGTTTGTTTGGAACACATCACTGTTTTATTAGTTGGAGTCCAGAAATAATGACTGGCTTGTGCTTTGTAACAATGTTGTGTGAAAAAAAAATCTTCTTTAAATTCTAGACTCACTGGATTTTTCATCCATTCTTTCCTTTTGGGAAGAATGATGAGGAGACAAGGATGACCCGGGAAATCAGAGGTCAGGCCCAGCACTCATGAATCTGAAATGTGTTCAATGCACAACAGTCACCTCAGATTATCTTAATTCTTCCAAGTCAGCTACCATAAACTATAGCAGCTGATTTAAAATGTATGAAATGAGTTTAGTTTAGTATGCCTGAGACACTAGATCAACATCTAAGGTTCAGGAGAGCCTGTTTGGACTATTGTCACAGACTTTCCACAGTCAACCTACCCCTGCAGTTCCTCCATATCAGTTATGACGACCATGGCTCAATTCTGTGATCTGCCATTCTATAGCAGTTTAAGCCTCACACTGTGTTTTCCAGTCTTATATTGCAACTGTTCCCTTGTCCAAGCTGTATCCCATCAGCATAATCTTAAATGGTGCCAAACACACAGCTGAGCAAGACCATAACTTCCCCAATCCATCTTTTCTTGATCAATCCCCTTGAATCTAATTACGGGCATTCTGTTATGTTTACTATCGTTGTGGTTCTGATCCTGTGCTTTACTCCCATGGTGGCCATAGAATGGTATCCTCAGTTTGGCAACCAGAAGGCTACAACCAAGGTTACTAATCACAAATTGGGGAAAGATAAACAGAACACAGTATGAATGAGTAAAACAAGCTGTGGACTCACCAGCAACTGTGTAAACAGCAGTGATAGCCAAGAGGATGAAGATTGCCAGGTAAAGATTCAATCCCAAAGCTAGTTGAATGAATATGGCTCCGGAAAATATGCTTGACTAAAAAAGCAACAGTCCAGATGAGAAAGAAGGATTATTTCAGACCTCTGCTTTTTGTACTCTAATATCTACGCATTCTTTTCCTGATAGACTTGTGTTAATCTGCTGGGACACCACTGAGACGTGACGACAATATCCCTGCAAGCCATCAAACAATTTTCACTTTCTCTTCTGTACACTGATAGTAGCTACTCAATCAAGACATGAAATTAAGTGGAATGTCCCAAAAGCTTTTTCTGTATGTTAGAGAGGCTCAGCGATTGCTTATAGAAAGTCTCTTGATCAGAGTTCAACAAAGAATATATATTAACATTAGCATTCTATCAATGAAAACTTTATGATTATAAGGTTTTATTTTTCACATGGAGGGTTAGGTCTGCTCCAAAAAAAAAAAAAAATGGCTGGGGTGAATTTGTTTCTCTGCTCTGAAACTATATTAACTTCAAGGATGTATTTATCATAGAATTCTTGAAAGAATTCACAGCCACACTTCTCTACTGTTCCTAAGTTACCCGTTGAAAGGATGTTGACCAGCACGTGGTGCTGGTTACCGTGTGGAAAGGTCACGGTCACGACAGAACCCAGAGAAGATCCAGGCCTGGAGGGAGAAAGATGGTGGGGGGGGGCATGGGAGGGAACAGAGCAGAGCAGAAAGAGAGCAGAGAGAGCCTGGGGGTCTGCATCTGGCTTTTAAGGCGCAGATTGTGTGACCATGCCATGCGCCCCACCACCACCACCTACCCCCAATGATGTAAGACGCAAGACCCCGAGCTGCGCATGTGCAGGAGTGAGGGCAGGATCTTATACAGGTATTGTCTTACAATCATTTTGAAGCCAAGGAAACTCAAGCTCAGACTATTTGGCCTATATCACCCGGACAGATAGTTGTAAGCTGAAGTTTTGAACCTGTATGATGCTCTTCCAAATCCCAGACTATTAAGCACTGTTACTGTGTGGGAATTCACTTAATGAAATACAGACATTATCCTTGGACACTGTGACTGAGACAGTGTTTTTTTTTTTTTGAATTTTCATGAATTACTACATTAGACAGAATAATTTTATAGTCAAACTAACAAGAAAAAGATAATTACATGAGTCAAAAATGTAAGGCACGTGGACAAATTGACTTCAGCCCTAATAATGATAGAAAAGTCTAGAAAGGAGAGAGAGATGATGACCTCTATGAAGGATGTGGCAATTAGACATTCTCATCTTGCCAGCATCTGTTAGCTTGAAAGCAATGAATCAATTTTAAAAGTGTAGATAAAGTTAGTCAAATTTTCCTCTGTAACTTGTAGGTAATTGTAAGGGTATCTCATCTTATGTTCTGAACAAAGTCAGAAGAGACTAGGTGAAATTCCAAAATCAAACTACCAAATTCACTTTGGCAATAGGATTCTCACTGAGGAAAACTTCCAGAAATAGGATAAATTGTAGTAAAATAATCAACACTACCCTTGACTATGCACTTTATTCTTGTATGGATTACAAGAATTGGGGCTTAGGGTGTTTGTTTGTTTGTTTGTTGTTTGTTTTGTTTTGTTTTGTTTTGGTCATATGGCTGAGGCAATTATAAAAACATTTTTGATGTATTGTAAAACTGGTCTGCTGGGGGGATTCCCGCAGAGCTGCAACTGGTTTGACTCCGGAGTGTTAGCACCTAGCTTTAATTTGCCTTTTGTGATTGCTACCTATTGTCTCTGGTACCTTCTATGTGGATCTTGTCTGAGAGTTTTTTGAAGGAGCAAAGCCTATGCAAAACTTGATTGGGGAACGACCCAGAAAACTGTGATTTTTCCTTAACTGAGAATTTGCATTTGGCATTGTCCCTTTGGGGAACATAGATAAGAGGTTTGGGGATATGGAAATTAACTTACTAATGGTGTAAATTGGAGAACAATAAAAAAAAAAAAAAGCCCTTTGCTAAGCTGTGAGTGCGTGAGTCAGTCCCGAGAGATTGATTCCCCCTGCAGCTGGAAAAGCTAAAAGTCATCCTTAGATGACTTCTATGAACCCACATGAAGCCATACCTGATATGCAAGACTGGTGAACAAATGATGGCTTTGGTTACCAGCTCTCTCAATTCCGAAAGAAGGAATAAACACACATGTACGAAGCTGGCGAAAGCAAATTACTCTTCAGAAATTGACTGTCAGTAAAGACAGTTGTGACTCCTGGGTGGGAATGCAGATGAGATGCTTCCTCTCTAGGATGGGTTGGAAAAGAAGAGTCGGGATAAAAAAAAAAGAACAGACTATTCCCAAAGCAAGACAGAAAAAGGAACAAAAAAAATGATGGAGGATGTGAAAGGACAGTGAAAACATGAGAAGTAAGCTGACTCACTGGGAAACAAGCTATACAGAGCTTCCTTCTCCCCAGGAGGGGAAGGACAAGCAAAAGCTAAATCCAGAAGGTAAGCCAGACAGCCCTGAGAAAAGGCTGGCAGTGCCCACAGGACACATCCTCCCAGCCCTCACAATGACTCCTGTGGTAGGATGTGTCAGTGCAGAGAGGAATTCTCTGTTACTCCCCATGACTAAAAGGAGCCTAGCCACCTGCCATCTGCAGAGCGAGAGGGAGCCTGTCTCTGTTAGGGTTTCTATTGCTGTGATGAAACACCATGACCAAAAAAGCAAGTTGGGGGGGAAAGGTTTATTCAGCTTACACTTCTGCAGCACTGTTCTTTATTGAAGGAAGTCAGGATAGCAACTCAGGCAGGGCAGGAACCTGGAGGCAGGAGCTGATGCAGAGGCCATGGAGGAGTGCTGCTTACTGGATTGCTCCTGATGGCTTGCTCAGCCTGCTTTCTTATAGATCTCAGGACCACCAGCTCAGGGATGGCACCACCCACCATGGGCTGTGCCCTCCCCCACTGATCACTGAGAAAATGCCTTACAGCTGGATCTCATGGAGGCATTTCCTCAACAAAGGCTCCTTCCTCTCTAACGACTCCAGCTTGAATCAAGTTGGCATAAAGCCAACCAGAACAGAGCCTGTTGCTTAATATTGGGCTACCCAAGACCTGAGAACATGAAGGAGTCATCAACCTGCCTCAGCTCCAAATTCAGGGGTAACCACTGGATGCAATGTGAAGAGTAGGTAGCAAAGCAGGAGCAGCAGGAGGGTCAGCCCGGGCAATGATGTGAGGGACCCCACCCTTGGTGAACAGAAGCAGACCCAATCAACTGATTATGACTTTGGAATTTGATATCCCTAAAGTCAGCAGAGAGACGACCCTCTGGAGCAACCTGTTTCCCAGGAGTCTCACTTCTGAGGAAACCAAGAACTCTGAACCACCTGACATCCACAACTACATCTCTCTAGCAATGAAATTAATGCTTAGCAGATTCTGAAAGTACAGAAACATATCCAGACACATATTTCTCCGTGTTTTGTTTGCTTTTTCTCCACCTCAATAGACTTGGGAGACATGTTCCACCTCACCTAGAACATTAGTCAGTACATGGATACAAACTTAGGGATCTCAGGAGGCTGGTATTGATTAAGTGGAAGATCCACCTCTCTCTCTCTCTCCCTAGACCCTCCCCACTCAGAAAGCCTGCCAAAGGCCAGCTCCTCCCCTGGGGGCTACTCAAGACCACAACTACAGGTTACTTATTAAGGCCTGGGAACCATATTTGCCATGTGACTCCTCCCCTGCTTTGCCAAGGGTCATCCTGGGTTGCTTTGCTGTGTTCATTAAACCTGGATTTATTAATTCGGCTTAATTGGCTTGTTACATCAGTGGCAGCAGATACATAACAACCAGGGATTCAAAACTTATCAGGTATTGCCTGCTCAGCCAGAAAACTGAAAATCTACATGTGATAAATACAAGTCCCAGTATGACAGGAAGGAAAGCTACCAAAATGAAGACAGATTTGACAGAATATAAGCCACTGTATAAAGTCGCTATGGAAATTGGGGTGGAAGTTTCTCAAAATGCTGAAAAGGGAACTAGCATACGATCCAGTTATACCATTCCTGGATCTATATTGTGTGTTCTACTGCAGAATGCATGGATACTTGCAGACTCATGTTCGTCACTGCTTGTCTTCATAGTAGCTAGGGAATAGAATCAGCCTTGATGGCCACCAGCTGATGAAGGGATAATAAAAAATGTGGCACATAACACAAAAGGATTTTATTTAGTTGTATAAAAAGTTGATATTAGGAAATTTTCAGGAAAATGAAACTGTAAAATATACTAACGGGGGTCACCAAAGCCCAGAAGACAAATGCCACATGTCCTATCTCATATGTGAATCCTAGCTTTTAATTTTTGGATTGGTGTTCTTAGACTGTTTGTGGAGACACCTAGGACATGAAGGTAGAAGCAAAGGGAATACCAGGGACAAACAGTGGAAGGGAGAGTAGAAGAGGGGGATGTGTAAAAAGAGAGGGTGGAGGAAGATTTAGACAATGCTAAGGATACAATTTTTTTTTTTTTTTTGGTTTTTCGAGACAGGGTTTCTCTGTGTAGCTTTGCGCCTTTCCTGGGCCTGCCTTGAACTCACAGAGATACGCCTGGCTCTGCCTCCCGAGTGCTGGGATTAAAGGCGTGCGCCACCACCGCCCGGCTGATACATTTTTTAAAAAGTTATATGGAAACCTAATAGTTCGTAAGATAATTAAAGAGTTTAGAGGAAAGTATCATACACAGATTGGATTAAGAAAGAATATCAAGTCTTGAAGACAAAGTAGGGGAAATGGATCACTCAGTCAAAGAAAATGTAAAATTAAAAGAAAGAAAAGGCAAAACCAGAACAGAACATGTGTGAACTATAAAAGACCAAGCCTATGAATAATAGGTAAACAAGAAGGAGAAGAACCTTAGATCAAAACACAGAAGATATTTTCAACAAATCACAGAAGAAAATTTCCTAAATCTGAAGAAAGATAAGTGTATCAAGGTCCAAAACTTGTAAAGAACACCAAATAGATGGGAAGAGAAAAGAAACTCCCCATGTCATATAATAGCCAAAAGACTAAATGTACAGAATAAAGAAAGGCTATTGACAGTGGCAAGAGAGAAAGACCAAGTAGATATATGTACAGGCACATAACAAAAACAAAAAAACTACCAGGAACAACAACAACAACAAAAAAAAGAAAAAAAAAAAAAACCAAAAAACTGGCAAGGCATTATACCCTGCCTAGCTCCTCTGACTGTACATTTTGCTTCCAGCCTTATGAAAGACATAAGATGTGCCCTCTCTATTGCTGAATAGCTCTTGATTAAAGAGAAGTTTTACTATATATGTATATTACATATACATTTATATGTATATTACACGTGTATGTTACATATACATATATGTATGTATATATACATATATATATATCCAATTTTCATATCCTTACTGACAGCAGATTTACACTCTTAAGGCTCATAGGATTTGATGGTCTATATCTCTATGGATACAACATCTCTAAAGCTCCCTTTTATCTCACTGATGCTTCAAGGAAGTTAAGTCTCCAGGTTGTTGAGAAAGCACACACCCCATCTTGTGACCTTGTCACCCCAATCCTATCAAGTGACCTCTGACAGCTCCACTGTCGGGAGGCATTGAACTCACAGAGATTTGGATGGCCACCATCATGAAGAGGGAGAGGACTGAGAGGTAGATCTGGAGCCGTTTCCCACCAAACCGCTTCCTGAGGTATTCTGGCATGGTCATCACCTGCAGAGACAAACATCCAAAGGAATTCACCTCAGAGCCTAAGTCTGCTGAGCACCTATGTATGGTGGTATTTTATTTGTGCTGAAATGTGATTTTAATTGTATGTTAATAAATAAAGTTGCTTGGGGGTCAGAGCTAATAACAAGCCATAGCAGAGCTGGGCATTCGTGGTGCACGCCTTTAATCCCAGCACTTGGTAGAAGAGCTAGGTAGATCTCTGTGTGGTCAAGGATACAGCCAGCATTGAAGACACACGCCTTTAATCTCAATACCATAGAAGACCTGGAGGGTCATACAAACAGGCAGTGATGAGACAGTCATGTGTTTGGGTTTACAACCAATGAGAAGGCAGAACAGAAAGACTATATAAAGACAAACACACAGGAAGTAGGCTTTTTTCAGAGAGGTCTCTTGGCTAGCTGCAGCAGGCGGGTAATGCTCTTAGCTCTGATCTCATGGCTTTCTTCTTTGCATTGGTTCTATGTCTCTTATTTAATAAGACGGTTGGTTACATCTACACCTATGGTTAGTTAAGTACTATGTATGGTGTCTTGGGAATAATCAAGTGGGAAAGATGGTAGAATCACAGTCATCATGGGGATTTAAGGCAGATCATCTTATGATTGCTTCCTGACATTTACTAGATGTATTGACCTTTGAAAAATAGTTTTAAATACCTTTTTATTATCTGTAAATCTGTGTGTGTCTCTCTGTCTCTCTCTTTGTCTCTGTCTCTGTCTCTCTCATATCTGACAAGGTAGGCTAGTCTACCTTGTCCCTCTAGCCCCTCTAGGGTATTTCTAACCCTTCCAACTCAACCCTTCTGTTCAGATCATCTCCACCCCCTTGGGACTCACTGACATTTGTGGTTGGACCCAGGATACCCCTAGTTCTGCCTCTGCTGTCCTCCGTGGAGCCAGACCCCAAGCCCTACTGAAGAGACTTCCAGCACCAGTCCCCTTCCCCTTCTTGCTAGACTATTACCCACACCACCCATTGCCCTGATCTGGGACTGTTTAGAGTCTGACTTCAGAGTTCCAACCAAAATGTCAGATGTGGGACCTGTCAGAATCTGAAACCTGAAACCCAGAGTGGTCCCAAGACTGAAAACAGATCATCACTCTGCTGGTCAACAACCTGTCAGATTGGAGTAACAGAAACCAAATAACCAAATACCCACTCAAAAAAAGTAAGACCAGATATCCACACCAAGAAATACTATGACTGTCATAACTTTAGATGCTTAAATCCCAGTGCAAAAACACAAACAGGAGCAACCAAAACAACATTCCTGTTCCAGAAGCCAGCACCACTATTGCAAAATTCCCCAAGAAAAGCAATCTACTGGAAGCATAAGACAATAGGTTCAAAACAGAGATTATGAATTTGTTCAAGGACCTTAACAAGGATATGAACAAATATCATATGAAGACCATGAAAACACAAACAGTTGAATGAAATAATAAAAACAATTCAACACATGGAAACAGAACTTAACAAAGAAATAAAATTACTAAAGAAGAGCCAAACTGAAATAAACCTCAAAATGGAAAATCCAGGAATGCAAACACAGAGCTCAGAGGAAAACCATATCAACAGACTAAATGAAATGGAAGATAAACATTAGATCTTGAAGACAAGGTAGGAGAAACCGATAGCTCAGTCAAAGAAAATGTTCAACCTAAAAAGAAAAATCCAGGCAAAAGATATCCAGGAAACCTGGGATACTATGAAAAGACCAAATCTATGAATAGTAGGAATAGAGGAAGGAGAAGAAACCCAGGTCAGTGGCATAAAAAATATTCTTTTCAATAATAGAAGAATTTTCAAATAATAGAAGAAAGAGGTGCCTACAAGGTGCAAGAGGCACACTGAACCAAAAAATACAGGGCCAGAAAAGAAACTCTACACAACCCATAATCATCAAAACATTAAATGTGCAGAACAAAGAAAGGACAAAAGCTGGGCCTGGAGAGATGGCTCACTCAGATGGTTAAGAGCACTGGCTGCTCTTCCAGAGGTCCTGAGTTCAATTCCCAGTGACCACATGGTGGCTCACAACCATCTATAATGAGATCTGGTGCCCTATTCTGGTGTGCAGGCATACATGCAGGCAGGCAGAACACTGTATACATAATAAATAATTCTTTAAAAAAAAAAAAAGCTGCCAAAGGAAAAGACCAATTCACACATAAAGGCAGACCTATTAGAATAACATCTGACCTTTCAGCAGAGATTCTGAAAACCAGAAAGGCTTAGATGGATGTTCTATAAGACTGAAGATGCCTGCTCAGTCTACTAGACCCAGAGAAAACTATCTCCCACAATCAAAGGAGAAAGAAAAAATTATACACTAAAAACACATTTAACCACTTTTTTTTTGTCCACTGATACAGCTCTACAAAAGACACCAGAAGGAAAATTTCAAGCCTGAAATAAAGGTTAGCTGTACCCAAGAGGACACAAGGAATAAATAATCCCAGAACAGTTGACCAAAGGAAGTAAAAGCAACAACATAACAAGAATTAAACACTGATAAGCACTAACCCTCAATATTAACTGTCTCATTTTAAAGACACAGACTAACAGATTAGATTAGAAAACAGGATCCATCTTCCTGCTGCATCCAAGAAACATAAATAACCATCAATGACAGAAACCACCTTAGGGCAAAAGCATGATGAATGTAATTGAAAGCAAATGGAACCAAGTAGCAATCTGGTGTAGCTATTTTAATATTAGACAAAATAGCCTCAAGTGAAGACTAATCAAGGATAGGGAAGAACACTATCTACTCATTAAAAGAAAAATCCGCCAAGAAAATATTAATGCACCAAACATTTATACCCAAACACAAGGACACACAATTTCATAAAAGAAACACTACTACATCAAAACTCATGCATTGACCTTAACACAGTGAGAGTGGGTAACACCAATTCCCCACTCTTACCAGAAGACAGATTGTCCAGACAAAAACTAAGCAGACAGCACAAGCACTAAGATCAACAATTTATAAATGGGACCCAGGAAACAGAAAAGCTTCTGTGCTGCAAAGGACACTGTCATTCAGACAAAGCAGCAGCCTAAAGAATGGGAAAATTCCTTTACCAAGTCCATATCTAAAAGACAATTAGTATCTAAAATACATAAGGAATTTTTAAAACTGTACATCAAAGAAACAAATAACCCAATGTAAAAATGGGGGACAGAAATAAGCGGAGTTCTCAAAAGATAAAACGCAAATGGCTGAGAAACACTGAATGAAAGGTTCAGTGCCCAAAGCCATCAGGAAAAATGCAAATCAAAACTACAGCCACTATGGAAGTCCTTGTGGTGGTTCCTCAGGAATCTGGGACTAGATCTATCTCAAAATCCATCTAGACCACTCTTGGGTATACACATCAAGGCTTCTTTTCTACACCCTACTACAGAGATCTTGCTCATCATGTTCATTGATTCTCTATTCATAACAGTCAGAATGTGGAAACAGCCTAGGTGTCCATCAACTGGTGGATGGATAAGGAAAAGGAATTACATTTGCACGATGGGATATTACTGAGCTGTTAGGAAAAAATGAAATTTGCAGATAAATGAATGGAGCTAGAAATGGAAAATCTGAGTAAATGAACAGGAACTACAGATACAAGCATAACCAACAGAATACAAGAGACAGAAGAGAGAATCTCTGGTATTGAAGATACAATAGAGGAAACAGATTTATCAGTCAAAGAAACATTAAAGTCAACAAAGTCATATCACAAAACATCCAGGAAATCCGGGACACCATGAAAAGACTAAACCTAAGATTGAGAGGTATAGAAGAAGGAGAAAAATACCAACTCAAAGGCACACAGAATACATTCAACAAAATCATAGAAGAAAACTTTCCCAACCTAAAGAAGGAAATGCCTACAAAGATACAAGAAACTTGCAGAACACCAAATAGACTAGACCCCAAAAAAGTCCCCTCACCACATAATGACCAAATAATTAAACACAGAATAAAGAAAAAATATTAAGAGCTGCAAAGGAAAAAGGCCAAGTAACATATAAAGGCAGACCCATCAGAATAACATTTGACATCTCAATGGAGACTCTGAAAGCCACAAGTTCCTGGGAAGATGTTATGCAAACTAGGCGATCATAGATGCCAGCCCAGACCATTATACCCAGCAAAACTCTCAATCACCATAGACAGAGTAAATAAGATATTCCATGATAAAACCAGATTTAAACAATGCCTATCCACAAACCCAGTGCTACAGAAAGCACTAGAAGGAAAAAGTCAACCTGAGGAAGTTAGATGCACCTATGAAAACACAGGCAATAGATAATCTCACACCAACAAATTCCAAAGAAGGGAAACACACAACACTACCACCAAAAAATAACAAGCACTGGTCATTAATATCCCTTAATGTTAATGGACTCAATTTACCTATAAAAAGACACAGGCTAACAGAATGGACATGAACAGGATCCATCCTCTTGTTGCATACAAGAAACACACCTCAACTTCAAAGACAGACACTACCTCAGAGTAAAGGGCTGGGAAAAGTCTTTCCAGTCAAATGGACTTAAGAAGCAAGCTGGTGTAGCTATCCTAATATCTAATAAAATAGACTTCAAACTAAAATTAATAAAAAGAGATTGAGGAGGACGTTACATATTCATCATGGGAAAAATCCATCAAGATGAAGTCTCAGTTCTGAACATTTATATCCCAAATACAAGGGCACCAACATTTTTAAAAGAAACATTACTAAAGTTTAAATTGCACATCTAACACCACACACTAGCAGTGGGAAACTTCAACACCCCCTCTCACCAATGGACAGGTCTACCAGATATAAACTTAACAGAGAAATAAGGGAACTAACAAACATTATGACTCAAATGGACTTAATAGATATCTACAGAACATTTCACCCAAACACAAAAGAATATGTGTTCTTCTCAGCACCCCATAGAACCTTCTCTAAAATTGACCACACACT